TGGATGTGTCTCCCTACTTTTATTGTTTTGTTTTTTTACATTTAATCCATAATATTATTATTACTTTTCAAATATGCATTAAGTTCCAAGTGTATAAAAATCTGTAATGATTTGAGACCTGCTATTTAATTGTCTGCTATTTAATCATAGTGTTAAAATAACACATTAGACATAGCATTTAAAAGGTTTAAAGTCCACAAACTACTCCCTTGTAGCCATTCACGTCACTCATTAGATAAGACACTGCCAGGAAAATTAACTCTTCAAAATAACTTAAGCACTTATCAAGAAAGTTGTAGGTTTCTAAATTAGTATCGGTCCCAGTAAGCAATGAGGCCAAAGGAGCAGCTTTCTAACAAAGTTTTACAGTGAAGCACCGAGTGGCCTTTGTCACTACGGCAACCTGAATGTCATAAAGCCATAAAGGTGTATCATGTTCTGACCACAACTGATCAAACGGAGCGTTGTCACGGAGGAGACTGTCGTGCATTTCAGCCAAGCATCTATTGACTGTATGAGTTTCAAGCTGTAGTGCTTTCTTTTGTATTCATATTTTCCCATTTTGTGATAGTTTTGACGGAATTAGGAGGAAATCCCTGGTCTACTTTGAGACTTTTGTTTCTTAAGATACTGCATTGTTAGTTTGGCATCACCGTACAGTACACATGTACAGTCTCTGTCAACTATGCAATATCATGAGAATTCAGTTCTAATGTTTCTAAAAACACCCATTTGTTATTTGTTTACATTAACGGACACCATGCTTCCATTTAAACCAGAACAATAAGGAAGAATTGGTATATTGTATGTGAAAATAATGGCTATTCCTGGTTTCCTTGTCCTGGAACATACTTCCCAGTGGATCTGACCTCAGAATGCACTTGTTAACAGACAAAAAAAAATGATTGTGATCATTAAAAATAGTGTGTATATTTTATTAAAGAAATCGTGGTTCAGTGTTGTATAGAAAATATTGAGAACATTTCACTAATAAAGCTAAGAGATATGTTTTCCTAATTTTTTTAAGGAAACAAGCTATTTTGAAGCTTAAATTGAGGAACTGATTAAGCTGATAAAATTAAAGAAGAAAGGCTATCTATTTATTTTAAGAGAATTAGCTCAATTATGCAGTTTTATGTTGGCGGTGATTGCATGCTTTGCATATGGCTGGATATGGAGAGTAAATATTGAAATTAAGTGCTATTTTATGTTTTTGAGTGAATGGAAACATCTGTTAATGTTTATTGTTCAGTTATGTTTGACATTTGAAAGAGTCTCTGTTATGTTGAAGTTTCTGTCGTTACCACTGTGCAGAAGAGGAGAGCTTATGGTTAGTTTGTGGATAACTGCATATACTAACATTATAACGCATGACGCTTTGTTCAATGAGCAGAAGCTTTGCTAGCACCAGTGCAGTTACAAGTTTTTCCTACGTGAGCTGTCTAGCTGCACACAGTCTTGTAATTGTACAAGATAGCTCAAAATCAAATACAAAACAGGCCTTACTCAAAAACACAGACTTTTGAGAATCAACTTAAAACAAATGAGCACATTTCACTAACAATATTAAATTAATCGTCATAGATTAAATAATTTAGTAGATTTTAATTGTATTTATTAATTTAATTAAAGAAATCAAGCCTTAAAAACTACTAAAAAATATTATGTGTAATGTTGTTACCATATTTTTTTTTTTAAATAATGTGTAGATAGCACATACCATTTTTTTTACAGTGCATAATTGATACAGTTGAAAGCTGAAACAGAAACTTTCACAATTTCCCAAACCATTCATTCAGTTCTCAAAACAAAGACACTTTCACCTGTTTTCGAATTTGCTCAAAGTTTTCAACACAAGTCTACACAAAATACTAATACATTTTGCTCAAATAAACAGGTTTGATAAAGTACCCCAATAATTAACACTCTTATTATTAAGTCTCCCTGAAAGGTCATTTTTCAGTACCTACTATAAAAACCCTATATGTAGCCTACTATTTAAACATCTATTCTTTTAACTAAACAATAAAATATTTTCATATGCTGCAAATTTCCCAAGTTCTCTATGCCATTCTTGGAACAATGCCGGCTAGCTATTTGCCTGCCTATCACGATACTTGTTTGGATTCCCTCACATTTTCATAAGTAAACAGTTCTCATGAAATATAAAAGCTAGGGCAAAATGAGCTTCCTTGTACTTCTGGTGCGTAATTGTGATGCTTAACGCAAAATGCTTGCGTTTTAGTCCAGTGAAGGCCAATAAAGCCGTAAAGCCAGAATTAAATCTGCTTCCTCAATCTCACATCACCAGCACTGAACTAACCTAAATAACCTGCCCTGAGTCTAACAAAAGTGATGGAGAATCTTGAATTGGATCAAATGTTTTTTCCTGAAACATTTCAGTTGGACTTCCATCTAGTGTTTTTTATTTTATTTTTAAAAGTTACTTCTTTTTTTTCAGAGAACATTTAAAAATAACTTTTCCATATAATGTTTGCAAAATGATAACATGGAATGTTTCCTTAATGTTTGCCACGAAACATTTCTAAAACATAAAAAAAACTGGACGCTTTGAACATTCAAAGAACATTCAGAAATAACATTTTTATGACTTAATGGGAATTTTAGCAAAACATATTTTTAGTAGAACATATTTTTGCTAGCTGGGATGGAAAAATCTGATGTGTGGTATATCCCTGTCGGTGCCATTGCTACACTGACTATTCTGATACACTCAACACTGAATGACTTTGCATTCCTGCACAGATTAGAGTTCAAGCCCTCCTCATTACACAAACCCCCATTTTTCTTTATGGCCATTTTAAATATTAACAATATGGTTGCCTCAACTCTAGAACTCTTTACCCTCTTACATCTGAATGCCAGCACAGATCAGTCTTTATCGCACATAAATGACACATAAGGGGAAGCTTTTGATAAACTTTAAATGAAGTGTGTTCAGAACATTCAGAAGATGAGAGTTTAGACCTGGAGGACCCAAGATATTCTCATCACATGATGTTTTGATCAGGAAACCTAGGAGATACAATATCCCTATATGGAAATTGTCTCGTAAATGTACAATTTTTTATGTGTTTATTATAGGTGCCTGACAAGACAATACCAAGGAAACATGTTCCAATAGAACAAATGATCAAACAACAACTATTCAAGATGTGTTTTTTTTGCTGACATTTTGCTGTGGCATGTTAGTTGACACTGAGTCTCGGCATGGCTCAGTTTTATCTGTTGGAGCTTGGAGTGTTCATGGTGCCTGACAAGACAATACCAAGGAAACATGTTCCAATAGAACAAATGATCAAACAACAACTATTCAAGATGTTTTTTTTTTTGCTGACATTTTGCTGTGGCATGTTAGTTGACACTGAGTCTCGGCATGGCTCAGTTTTATCTGTTGGAGCTTGGAGTGTTCACAGTTGTTCTTTTTATCACTGCTGGTTAAACAAAAGGCCTATGTTGCCATCCTGTCCTTGGCAATCCTCAAATTTTCCAATGTGATAAGAAGGAAGGGAGTGTCTGTTGCTACTTGATACAAGTGAAGGAGTTTGAGCACTAAATGTCAAGACATTCTTCCTTAAAACAGTATCAATCAGACTGTTTCCATTGGAGATATATGAGTGCTTCTCACCTTTATTGTGAAGTTCTTAATGAGTTTTTGGAATGAATCAGAACAATAAAGCTTTGATGTCAGACTCTTTTTTTCATACTGTTTTCCTCTCTGTGGTTTTAATTTTTCATATTTTTTATTGAGGTTTACTCATGCTTCATTATGAAGTCTGCAAATATCAAATATGCCTGTTAACCTGACATCTCCAGATATGCTTTAGATCAAAGCAGGAGCCCTTTTATAGCCTCATAAAATACATATCTTAGTTGAAGGCTGGAGTTAGTTTTATGAAAAAAGAATTAGTAAAATGTTTCACAATAAGGTGTGCTATAATTGTCCGACTCCTTAACTGTGTGTGCGTCAGTATATGGCCAATATGACGATATAGGTTAAAAGATAATGGTAATAACACCTCCTGTTTCTAATTATAGTTTAATGTGATATACAATATATGAATTGTTTCCATGACAAAGTGACAGAATAAAATATGAAAAAGTGATGCACGCGCACACATACACACACAGGTTTTCCTATAATTATGGGGATATTTCATATATAGGCAAAAATAAGTTTTTATACTGTACAAACTGTATTTTCTATTCACTTAAAAGATCAGAAGTTTCAATACTACAATGTTTGTGCATTTTGTGTGAGAGTCAGTCTGTGGTGAGTCACTGTACCATGACTCTGAGACTCATAAAAATAAAACTTGGACACCAAAAAAATAAAAAGTTTTCCACTTGTTTCTCTATGCCAATTGATTTAAAATTTGAGAGGTCTTTACATGAGTCCTGATGGATTTTCTGACCTCACTTCCATCATTCATGTTATTGCAAATAAACTGCACACTGATGCAAATACTCCAAACTGATAAATAAAGTACACCTAGACACCTGTACACTTAGAGCGCACCCCATAGCAAGTCTAGCTCAGAACATTTAAAAATAGGTTAGCCAAGTTAACCATTGATTTAAATAAAGGAGTCCTTGTTAAATAACATTTTCTCAACAGAACCATGACGTTAAACCAAATGTGTGCAGGATTATATATTTAATAACTACTACTACTACTACTACTACTACTACTACTACTACTAATTACTGTTTTAATGCGTAACTGTGATTTTGAGTCAACATACAAACAGAACGAACAAACAAATTAATTAATTAATTAATTAATTCATGCATACATTCATTCACACATACATGGGTTATTTCATGTTGGTTGTTTGTTAAGATTATTAATATATATACGTGCATTTCTTAGTGTTGGGTGTGTAGGAGAAAAAAATATGAATGTGCCACACTGATTTCAAGAGTCCTGTTTCGCAAGCTAGGTTGTAGCCTAAGTATCCTCCCCCCTGCAGGCATAGGCTATTTAACCCGCTGCCTCTTTAAAGCCACCTGTAGCGGATCTCTATCCTCCAAAGGAAATTAACCTCCGAAAGCCACCGAGTTAACGGACATAAAGCTCTTGACACGGAAGACATCTGTTTTCATTATTTTTCCGTTATCAATATCTTTTTTATTTTTATTATTTTTTTGTATAAACGACACTTAAGTAGAGAACTATGTTACTGACGCATCAACTATTCCTATTAATATTAATCTCTACTTCAGGTAAGCCTGCGATCTGCGTGTGTGTGTGTACTGATGGGTTTATTATAGATATACAATAAGTAATCTATATTTGAAAAGAAATACTAGTGATATTTTATTTTGTAGACTAACCCACTGGTAATGATTTGACTTGCGCCATGACCGTGTTATGTTTTAAGGACCATGGACAGTCTCGAGTGCTGGAAAAAATCCACAATTACATTTTAGTTTTTATACTAATGCTCGTCTGAACTTAGACGTGTTTGTAAGAGACAAAACTTTCGCCTGCAACAACAACAAACAAAACGTGAGGCACATATGAATGATCCCGTGGAAGACTTTGAGCACATAAGACTTTCCTCGGTCGATCCGGCTTTTAAGCGGAATAAAATAAAGACCTGTTGCTCCTCGACACGCAAAACCTAGTGAGCTGACTACCTAGACAGCATTTTTAGCCATAATAGGCATTCACCGTTGTCTTTAGCTAACTCACCGCTAAAATTTGTTACCCAAATATACATTTAAGGCTCTAAAACTAGTTGCTGAAGCAATAAAAGTAAAAAAAAAAAAAAAGATTTCTTGATTTCATGTCAACATTTTAAATAGACAGTTTGTCCCTCTAAAAAGCTCTGTAAAACATGCAGTAATATACAACTGCCACATTTAGTAGATTAAATATAGGTGTAATAATGAAAGGGTCTATTATTACTGTGTTTTGTACTCTTTCTCACATAAATCATGATCACATGCAATTATGTCATTGGTCACAGTTGTGGTCAGTGGGAAACAATTTGAATAACTAATTTAATGATTCACATTATAGATCTCAAACTAATGTTACATTAAATGAAACAAGTAATAGTAATAATAAACATGCATTTATCCTTCAATTATTCCCCCTTTATCCACAATCCACTATTGCCTGAAAAAAGAAAAGAAAAATAAAGTTAATTTATTGTTTACAACTTTCTGTTCTTATTGGTTCTTATTGGATCTTTCAGTTCTTAGCGACTAATTGAGCCCCTTTTGACTCTTAAATCCTGGAATCATTTGACTCGCAAAACCCCTAGAGGATTTTTGGGCAGGATATTATGGCACAATTCACACTGTACTTTAACTAAACAGAAAAGATCAGAAGTTTCAATGCTATAATGTGTTTGCATTTTGTGTGGTGTGAGGGTTAGTCTGTGGTGAGTCACTGTACCATGACTATGAGACTCAGATTTTCATTCACACACACACACACACACACACACACAGGTTTACATTTGTGAAAAGTGGGGACATCCCATAGGCGTAATGGTTTTTATACTGTACAGACCGTATATTCTATTGCCCTACACCAACCCTCCCCCTAAACCTACCCCTCACAGGAAACTTTGTGCTATTTCAGATTTTCAATACACTCCATTCTGTGTGATTTATAAGCGTTTTGAAAAGTGGGGACATGGGGTAATGTCCTGAAAAGTCACCTTCTCCTTGTAATACCTATGTCATACCTTTGTCATTATACAAATTAATGTCCTCATTTGTCACAAAAACGCGTACACACACACACTCACACTCAGTGTGAGTGAGCACTCTTGGGATTGGCTATGTCACATCCTTTAGTTTAGTAGCTACCATAGATATCAAATATCTTGTGTTTCATTCAGAATATGTGCTTTTGTGTTGCATCTCTTATTGTGATCTCACAGCCTTAATTTGATATTCACTGATCACAAACTGATAAGTTTATTTAATAAATTTCACTCAAATTTCAAATGATAAATTATCATTACGGCATACAGGTGTCCTAGTTAGACACATAATAAACTGTGTATAGAGATGACACCACGGTATGTACCACCTTTTGCCTCGGGGCATGTTTGTGTTTCTAATAAAGTAAGTCCTACTGTGTGTGTGAAAGGTCCATGACTGCAGTAGAAGAATAGCCTGTGTGTATGTCCTGTCTTTATGTCTGGCACCAAGTCCAGCTGTGTCCCACCGGTGGACCCGTCAAAGACAGAAAGCAAGGGAAAGGCAGATAGATGGCAAGATGTCATGTGTGAGGGAAATGACAAAGGTGTGTGTGAGAGAGAGATAGTATTTAAAATATGGGATTAAAAGTATCCCACATATGTCTTTTTGAGTAATCATTTGAATCATTCACTCAACTGATTCATTCAAAAACACTGATTCATTCAGGAATGAAATGAAGTGACCATACATTCTCAGAAAAAAAAGTAGAGAACTGTCACTGGGGTGGTACCTTTTCAAAAGCTCCTATGTACCATTGTACCATATGTACCATATACTGTAGTTACTAATTACTTTAAATTACTAATATAACATGATCGCACCGCAGAAACTGGGAATGATTTTAGTTATAGGAACGCCTTTTGGGGGGACTAAATTAACTCTTACTTCAGAGTAGGGTCAGCACATAGGAGCAACCAGTGGTAAATAAAAAGTAAGGGGTAAATAAGATACAGGAATAAGGTATGAACGAGTCCTTGAATCATTTGCTAAACCATTTCATTCAAAAACCCGGAATCATTTGTTTCCAAAAACAAAGGCCACTAAAGTGTGCTGCTAATTGCTCTGATGTGGCTTTGTTTGCCATTTTTGTTTTGTTAGTGGACATAGTAGCCAGCAGTATTGTGTCTAAAATGTAAGTATAATATTAGCTTGGGGACATGGGGTAATGTCCTGAAAAGTCACCTTCTCCTTGTAATACCTATGTCATACTTTTTTCATTATACAAATTTATGTCCTAAATTAGCAATTAGAACCTTTTGTTATTTCTTGTTTATTGAACTGCTGTATAAAAGCAAAGTCATTCAGTTGCTGCCTCCTTGGTACTCCAATATCTTGTCAGAAACAGACCTGTGATGTGATGTTTTTGAACAAGTAATAAATTAAATTGTGTTATTGGACCATCTGATGCTGGGAGAGGGAGGATTGTGAAATAAGGCCTTTGTTTCAGAGAGAGCTCTAATCCAGGCAACGTGCTGTAATGCTAATCTGGGCATCTGAGGGATAAAGAAGCTGTCTAACACAACCAATATAGTTAATGAATGCTGTCTGGTTTGTAAATTATCATTCATATAAAACTACAAGGATATAAATACAAATTATTCACTGTATACAAAAATACAGTTTATTTTGATATTTCCAGTTTTCTGAAATTGTTTTTAACATGATTTTTTATGTATTGATTTATTTATTTGTAATCAGGTTGTTTCTTCTTCTCTTCTCTTCTGTTTTTTTGGGGATTAGAGGTTGTAAATCTGCCCCTTTACTTGGACAGTATAGGCTGCCTGTGCTTTAATTGGATATGATTGAGTGTGAGTTTGCCTAGTTTGTACTAGTGCAGAAGGTCTTCTCCAGAGAACCATCTGTTACCTAAGAGCCATTTAGAGATTTGTAAGCCTTTATAAGAGAGAGTAAGGGAGAGTAAATGGCATTATAATGGCTTGTTGTGTCTACAGTACACATGGCAGGAAAATGAAGTGTGGTTAAGGAACCAAAAAGAGGGGAACTTAATTGTTTAAAACAAGAATTTAGCTCAAGTGCTATGTAAACCAAAAATGCTATAACTAGATACTAAAGCAAATTTAAAGCAAAGTTTCGTGCTCATGAAAAAAATCCAGCTAGAGTGTTATGGTGTTGTGAATGTTTGCTAAGAGGTTTAAAAGGCTTTCTTAGTTTGTTAGCAGGGTGGAGTTGTTATCTTGTTGCTATGTGGTTGCTAGTGTGTTGACTGCGGGTCCAAATTAAAAGTACATCGGTCTGATCATTTTTTATTAACAAGCCATAGGATTTGAGTTATCATTAATGGCTATAGCATGTTCCAAACTTAAGGTTAGTTGTTTGTTCAAATATTAATAGTGATGATGATGTTACTTAAAATGAATCAGATATGAATTGTTATTTGAATTCATGTCACAACTCTATAAGTCATTGTTAGGTAAATTTGCAGTCAGTGTTAATTTTGTATTATGTATATACTTTTAGTAGATAGTATAATATAGTATTTATTACAATTTTGAATTAACTTTATTTTTAGATTTTCTGTTTTCATTTTCATTTTTGATGAAGTCAGTAATTTATTATTTATTTTATATTTAATAATAATAATTATTATTAATAATAATAATAATTCATTAATTAATTAACTAATTATTATTAATAATAATTATTACTATTTAGTTATCCCTGTCTGCAATTAAATATTAACTTGTTTTAAGTGGCTCTTTTATTTGTAGGGCACACAATTCTTTTGATTGTGAAGTAGTTTTAGAGTACCAGGAACTCTAAACAAAGGTCACGAAAGTTCCAAATGCTACTGATATTATGAATATAGATAAAGCTGTGTAAAGGAGGAACATACTGAGTATGGGAGAGTATGTCTGTGCCATAAGAGAGAGAAAAGAAAGATAATATCGAGGAACAATAATGTCACGGCTGAGTACACTCTTAAAAATAAAGGTGCTTCACGATGCCATAGAAGAACCTTTTTGTCTACATGGTTCCATAAAGAACTTTTAACATCTGAAGAACCTTTCTGTTTCACAAAAGGTTCTTTGTGGCGAAAGAAGGTTCTTCAGATTACAAAAAGGTAAGAAAGAGATGGTTCTTTAAAGAACCTTTGACTGAATGGTTCTTTGTGGAACCAAAAATGGTTCTTCTATGGCATCGCTTGAAGAACCTTTTGAAGCACCTTTATTTTTAAGAGTGTATGTAACAATATTAGTGAAGAACAGTAACTAAATACTGAACACACGCAAGTTTCAGTGGCCTCTTACATCTGCTTGTACAAAAGTATTGTAGATCAGGAATGTGTCTTCTCTTTAGGGAGCTGTAAACTATTTGTCATGTCACCATGTATTTAAAAATGATTCACAGCTGCCTGCGATTGGAAGATGCACATGAATTTTGATATGCAAAAACTATTTTTGTATTTCAAAGTAAATGACAGATAACAAAGTAAGTTTGTACATGACAGGTCGAATTTATCTAGGTTTTATGGCAAAGAGAAGGTATCTAAGGCTCAATCAACAATTACAAATGTACAAAGCATGTGAATTTTTGGGATAAAATGAAGTTATAAATTATTTAAAGGGAATTATTCCCAAAACTCTCTAGCTGTGGGATAAATTGTGCCAGATGCTTTGGGGTAAGATCTACCAGTGCACAAATACTAGTACTAATGCTACTAATAATAATGTTTTTGTGCTTTTTAAAATTAAAAATCAAAATAAAATGGATTCACTACAAAACTGCATTCTAATTGTTTAATAGCAGGTTAATGGTATTGCCCAATTATTCAGCTTACTTCAATTACAAATGACACATGCCTGAGGTGGGGCGTCACTAGAGGACCTTGGGAAGTTGTGTCACTAGATGACATTTTTGAACATATATTTTTATGGTTGTAAAAAAATAAGTGAAAACATCAGATAACAGTGTGTGTAGAGTGACGTACTGTTCTACTCACACCCTTGCTGTAAAAAGGGAAGGGTGTAAACAAACGTCAGTACTCTTTCCATTGCCGTTAAACATGAAATGATTCTATATATTTAAATAGTTTTAGCTGTAGCTGCTGTACACTATTAAAGTGTATTTAACAGCTTGTTCGATAACCAAAACTCATCTTTGGCTATTTACTCGGATGAAGCCTATTTTCTTACTTAACAAAAGACTGTAATTGAGCCATGGAGTGAATGGAGGAGATAATTAAACCGAGAGGGGAATCAGTGCGTGTCAGAGAAAGTCAGACATGGTCTTTGTGTTGGGTTACGAGAATGAGAAGGTTGCATGTGTTTTAGAGAGCCAGGATGATAGTGAGTGTGGGGTGCATGTGTGTTTATCTGTGGGAGGTGGAGGTGAAAGTAGTTTGCAGTTGTTAAGTTTTCTTGCTTCCTGGCGTCAAGTTTGCTGCTTTGAAGCAGAGAGCCATGACTGCAGAAGATACCAGCCTCAGGGCATTTCAGATCTGCCTGTCAACCCCAACATGTCACAATCTCCACACACACATAACACATCTTATTTTGCCTGTCTAATCCTCAGTGTGTACATTCTGTCTAAAAAATTATTATTGGGTTTATATATAACATTGCTTCATACATATCAAATACAATTACAAAACAATAAATAAATAACAGATCTTACACTTAAGCTTATTGCCACATAGTTCACAAATCTAGTGGGTGTGTTTCTGTGTGAGAGCGAGTGAGACAAGCTCCAAGGTCATTTTAAGCCTGCCACACACACACACACGTTAGTTGAGAAATAGAGGTCTTGCTGTACATAGCAGTAGTGGAATTTGGGTAGAGGACAGGGTGTTGAGACATCAGCGACTTTGGTAACAGAACAGAAGCAACTTGACTTCCTTTGACCTGAATGAATGCTTACTGTGAGCGTGTGGTTAAATTCTAGGGCCACACTTACAAATGTATCCTGTGAGTTCCCTCAGGAGGCTAGAAGTCTGTAATTATTTGACTAACTTAAACTGTCCTTAAAGTTATTGGCTTTAGTGCCTCACCTCTTATTTTATATTTTTTTAGAATCCTTAATGAGCCAGTTATATAAACATAGCCACTATGTTAACACTGCGTCTTAAGGACTAGTTTGAACAAATAACAGTAGACAAGGGGTAATCAGTCATACTTTCCATGCAACTCAAATTAGACCAATCTACCTTTCTGTAACTGAATTTAAAAAGGTCTAGAAAACTAGTCTTGAAAAAATAAAATAAATAAATGTCAAAATTTTTAAGACTAGTCTAAGCAGTTTATACCTATTGTATTATAAAAAAATCTAGAGCAAATCAAACGTGATATGTTGAAAATTTGGTTGGTTTTAAATTATCTGTTGATTTACTTGTTTAGTTGAATATTTCTTACAACTAACTATGAATTGACAGTCATGTTGATAATTAAAAAAAAATCGTTGTATTATTAAATCAAATTGTATGACTTTCCTTTTCCATTGACGTCAGTTAGGACTTGACAAATAGCCAACTAGATATTGAAGTAAACATTTTTGTCATTGCAAAGCTTCAAATAATTGCTTATATTTTTACTCTTTTTTTCTCATTAATATATAAAAAGTTACATAGAAATAAAACTGAACCTTCGCTGTCCAGGCCACATTTAAGAGATCATATGTTTGTAATAAATTCTACTTTATTAAAAACTTCACATCAGATCACATCTGACCTGACCTCTGCTCTGGTCATAAGAGAAGTCTTATGTGCTCTTTGACCCAGACAACCTAATTTCTCATTCAGACTTAGTTTCCTGGCTAATCACCCTATATCATGCACTGCCCTTGTGAAAACAGACAAGATGTGTTATTAATGTCATTGTTTAATACAAAATGCAGGATTAGTCAGTCATTTTTTTAGCTGTATATATCTGTAGTATACTTTACATAAGACATTCAAAGCAATATAAATTTGGGGTGCTCCGATTGATCGGCTACCGATCACTATTGGCCGATAATCACGTTGGGATGTTTGATTGGCGGTCTCTTAAAAGGCTGATCTCAAAAAAACGGGAGAGGTTTGGCACGACATGCAGCGTCACCATCTCAGTCTCTGTCTGGCGCGGGTGAAATAATTATAATGCTTTTGATCGGCCTCAAAGATTTTTGATTAGCCTCAAAAATCCTGATCGGAGCACCCCTAATATAAATGTTTGTTGGACTTTGTGTGTGTTTGCTAAGTAATAAGACAAGCAGAATATAACTGCAGGCGTCAGTCAACCTATATGAATGTTTGTTCTTGGAAGCTAATGAAATTACTAACAGGATGTGATGCATATTTTGTGCAGTTTTTGTGTTTGACAGTAAATAGTACCTTAATGAGTGCTGAATTAGTAACTGGGTGTGCCTGATTGGATTACATGAGACTTACAGGAACTGAATGACGATTGAAACTTGTGTTCCAAGATTGTATGTATTTGTTGTTTATATGTATCTCATGTCATCTGACCAGTTTTGTTGATTTTATTTTTCAGAAACATCCACCACAAGCACAAACTCAGCCAGTGATTCAACAGACACCCCAATCACTGGTACTGTTGGTAAGGGCATGTTCACTACTTCCAATACAAAACATCAGCTAGTTCAGTCATTACAATTTTTTATTTAATTCCAGTTACAGATGAAGTTATCATATCAGACATTATTATTATATACGTATATACGTATATATATATATATATATATATATATATATATATATATACAGTGGGGCAAAAAAGTATTTAGTCAGCCACCAATTGTGCAAGTTCTCCCACTTAAAAAGATGAGAGAGGCCTGTAATTAAGAAGTGTACCATACGATGCACCAAAACATTATAATAGTTCAGAGCTGTTACTGAAGCAGCATGGTCTTGATTCACTTCATTTAGACCAAGCACTACTACTGTTTGTTATCGTATTTTATTTTTCTATTCACAGATATTGACTCTGCCTTTGGAGGCCCATCTCAAGGTTTGACAAGAATAAAAAGTTTTCAACTTCAAACCCATTTTAAGTATATATATATATATATATACTAACACATAAACCAACCTCAGCTACCTCAATAAAATATTCTTGCTAATATGTTGGTGCTTCAGAAGTTACATGAAGCAGAACTCTTGTATCATAATATATTTGATCGTTCTTTTAAGTGAAAACTATTTTGTACAAAATTATTTCGTTTTCTCATTCAAGTCATTTAAAGTTCAGTCATTCAGTCCTCAGCTTGAATCCTCACTCAAGCTTTGCATATGCTTCTGAAAACAATTGAACCAGAACATGTCTGCATTGTTCAACGTGTGCCATTGCTTATTTTATAACTGGATCCTTTCTCTTGTTGTTTTACTGTCTTTTGTATGTTTAATGAAGTACAAATGGGCTTTAAGCATTTTAGAGGAGCAACTATTACCTATAGCTATATATAAATTATTGGAAGAGGCTATTTACACTAAGTGAAAATAGTATTTTCTAAGAGATATTCTATTTACACTAAGTGCAAATAGCAATAGACAAAAGTTACTGTCACTCTCCTTCCTGCTCCTCCAGTACTGCTATTTGATGGGAGTCTTTTGTAATATTGTCTAGCTCAACCACACAGTGGTGGGCGGAGTTAGTATAAATAGCCTCTGCCAACAAGGCAGAGCATAGACACTCCGATAAATATTAGCACACTTTAGTTGAAGAATTAAATTTAAAGACCTTTTGTTTTGACACATAGGTCATTTTTATTTATCTACAGCTTAATTCAGATAGTTGTTCACTCTCACATGCTCATTTCCATAGTAATACCAAATATGTTACAAATAGCATGCTATACACTCTAAAAAAAAACAAGAAAAAAAAACAATTTGGGTTGTTTTGAAACCTATGGCTGGTTCAATATGGAATATTTTGATCTAGGATGTCGGGTTTAACCCTGCATAATTGGTTGATTTATGCTAATTCAACTTACACCTACTGATATCTCGTCCCTGTATGTAGCGTTGCATAAAATGCACAATAAAGACTTTATAGATTAAATAAAATGTATACAAACCTTTATTTTCCCAAATAAATGCACCAGTTAAGTGACGCTGAGAATAGCTCTCTCCTGAAGAGGATGTAAAAAGCCCACACTCTTTACCTCATCAGCTGGGTTGTATGTTGCATTCCATTTACCTCAGATGTCGTATGTCTTAGTTGGGAACGATGTCCTACCTAAAATGACCATATTCCAGTACAAAAGTCGGACGCATCCATTGTTGGCAACACCAGTCTATAAAATACATAAAATGCATAATACCAAAGTATCATGTCCACAGATAGAGGTTAGATTAGTACTGGGTGTATTGCTGGGGCAGTCGTGGCTTAATGGTTATAATGTTGGACTTGTAACCTAAAGGTTGCGGATTTGAGTCACCGGTACCGGCAGGGATTGTAGACGTCACTTTCGCTTTTGTTTCAGCTGTCAGTGAGACTGACCCAGCCAACTAGAGACCTAAAAATGGCTGTCCACCAACGTTTACTATCCAACCTGACAGAACTGGAGAGGCTCTGCAAGGAGGAATGGCAGAGGATCCCTAAATCCAGGTGTGAAAAACTTGTTGCCTCTTTCCCAAAAAGACTCATGGCTGTATTCGATCAAAAGGGTGCTTCTACTAAATACTGAGCAAAGGGTCTGAATACTTAGGACCATGTGATATTTCAGTTTTTCTTTTTTAATAAATCTGCAAAAATGTCAACAATTCTGTGTTTTTCTGTCAATATGGGGTGCTGTGTGTACATTAATGAGGGAAAAAAATTAACTTAAATGATTTTAGCAAATGGCTGCAATATAACAAAGAGTGAAAAATGTAAGGGGGTCTGAATACTTTCCGTACCCACTGTATATATATATATACACACACATACATACATTCCCTCAGATTAAGTATGTCTAGCATGAATGATATATAATTGCAAACTTCTATATGACTTGAGACCCTTCAGACCAAATAATCAGGAGAGCAGTGGCACACCTGAGCAGAACAAAGGTATCTCTAGTCATGTTTTAAACTATTAAAACACGAAAACTGCAAAAAGCAACTTAATAGCCAAAGACATCCATCTAGCATATTTGCATAGAAAAACAATTTAAAAAACAGTGCAGGCTGACACACACAAAAAACTTGTATAATGACTGCGTGACACATGCTCAGATAGAGATTTTTCATTTTATGTTGCTTCTCAAATCTGTATGCAATCATCTTTTTTTCTGTTTCTGATCATTTGTTTGTGGTCGACAACAGCAGTAACAAGCATTCCATCTGAGAATACAACTACACCATTCACAAACAATGCCACAACCCCACTGCTGTCAACGCATGCTAGCAATGTCACATCTCCACCTTTATCTACTCAAGGCAATGTGACAAGCTCATCTACAGTTGTACCAGAAAATGCTACCAGTTCATCAGCGATTACACCAGGAAATGCCACAGCTTCACCTGCACCTGTAACAACAGCAGCAGCCAGAACCACAAGTCCACTTGTGCCTACACCAGAGGATGCTACAAACCATCCTGTAACTTCACCAGACAATGCCACAACTGGTCCTTTACCTGAGCCAGGCAACAGCACAAACCCACTCCAAACTACAAGAGGCAATGACACTACTCCCATTAGCACACCAAGCAACAGCACAGCTTCACCAATTACAACACCAAGCCATGTCACAATTACAACACAGACTACACCAGGTAATGCTACAACAGCAAACCGTACCACAACTCCACCCTTAACCACATATATTTCAAATCAAAGTACACCAGGGAATAATGCAACAGTAAATGCTACCATACCACCCCTGACTACACCAGTAAATGCTACTGCACAACCCCAAAATACACCAGGGAACAATGCAACAGTAAACGCTACTACACCACCCATAACTACACCAGTAAATGCAACTGCACCACTTCCAATTACACCAGGGAACAATGCAACAGTAAACGCTACTACACCACCCATAACTACACCAGTAAATGCAACTGCACCACTTCCAACTACAACAGGGAACAATGCAATAGTAAACACTACCACACTACCCATGACTACACCAGGGAATAATGCAACAACAACAGTAAATGCTACTACACCACCTCTAACTACACCAGTGAACAATGCAACAGTAAATGCTACTACACCACCCATAACTACACTCGAGAATAATGCAACAGTAAACGTTACCACAACACCCATGACTACACCAGTAAGTGCTACTATACCACCTTTAACTACACCAGAGAATAATGCAACAGTAAATGCTACTACACCACCCATACCTACACTCGAGAATAATGCAACAGTAAACGTTACCACAACACCCATGACTACACCAGTAAGTGCTACTATACCACCTTTAACTACACCAGAGAATAATGCGACAGTAAATGCTACCACACTCCCCATGACTACACCAGGGAATAATGCAACAGTAAATGCTACCACACTCCCCATGACTACACCAGGGAACAATGCAACAGTAAATGCTACCACACAACCCATGACTACACCAGTAAATGCTACTACACCACCTTTAACTACACCAGAGAATAATGCAACAGTAAATGCTACCACACTCCCCATGACTACACCAGTAAATGCTACTATACCACCTTTAACTACACCAGAGAATAATGCAACAGTAAATGATACCACACCACCCATGACTACACCAGGGAATAATGCAACAACAACAGTAAATGCTACTACACCACCTCTAACTACACCAGTGAACAATGCAACAGTAAATGCTACTACACCACCCAGAAGTACACTTGAGAATAATGCAACAGTAAACGTTATCACAACACGCATGACTACACCAGTAAATGCTACTATACCACCTTTAACTACACCAGAGAATAATGCAACAGTAAATGATACCACACCACCCATGACTACACCAGGGAATAATGCAACAACAACAGTAAATGCTACTACACCACCTCTAACTACACCAGTGAACAATGCAACAGTAAATGCTACTACACCACCCAGAAGTACACTTGAGAATAATGCAACAGTAAACGTTATCACAACACGCATGACTACACCAGTAAATGCTACTATACCACATTTAACTACACCAGAGAATAATGCAACCGTAAATGCTACTACATCACCTATGACTACACCTGGGAACAATGCAACAGTAAATGCTACTACACCACCCAGAAGTACACTTGAGAATAATGCAACAGTAAACGTTATCACAACACGCATGACTACACCAGTAAATGCTACTATACCACATTTAACTACACCAGAGAATAATGCAACCGTAAATGCTACTACATCACCTATGACTACACCTGGGAACAATGCAACAGTAAATGCTACCACAGAACCCATGACCACAACAGTAAATGCTACTTCACCACCTTTAACTACACCAGAGAATAATGTAACAGTAAATGGTACCACACCACCCATTACTACAACAGTAAATGTTACTATACCACCTTTAACTACACCAGGAAACAATGCAACAGTAAATGCTACCACACCACCTATGACTACACCTGTAAATGTTTCTACACCACTTCTAACTACTTCAGTTAATAACACAACAGTTAATGCTACCACACCACCCATGACTACACGAGGGAGTAATGCAACAACAACAGTAAATGCTACTACACCACCTTCAACTACACAAGAGCATAATGCAACAGTAAATGCCACTACACCACCCATAACTACACTCGAGAATAATGCAACAGTAAACGTCACCACAACACCGATGACTACACCAGTAAATGCTACTATCCCACATTTAACTACAGCAGAGAATAATGCAACAGTAAATGGTACCACACCACCCATAACTACACTTGAGAATAATGCAACAGTAAACGTCACCACAACACCGATGACTACACCAGTAAATGCTACTATCCCACATTTAACTACAGCAGAGAATAATGCAACAGTAAATGGTACCACACCACCCATAACTACACTTGAGAATAATGCAACAGTAAACGTCACCACAACACCGATGACTACACCAGTAAATGCTACTATCCCACATTTAACTACAGCAGAGAATAATGCAACAGTAAATGGTACCACACCACCCATAACTACACTTGAGAATAATGCAACAGTAAACGTCACCACAACACCGATGACTACACCAGTAAATGCTACTATCCCACATTTAACTACAGCAGAGAATAATGCAACAGTAAATGGTACCACACCACCCATAACTACACTTGAGAATAATGCAACAGTAAACGTCACCACAACACCGATGACTACACCAGTAAATGCTACTATCCCACATTTAACTACAGCAGAGAATAATGCAACAGTAAATGGTACCACACCACCCATAACTACACTTGAGAATAATGCAACAGTAAACGTCACCACAACACCGATGACTACACCAGTAAATGCTACTATCCCACATTTAACTACAGCAGAGAATAATGCAACAGTAAATGGTACCACACCACCCATAACTACACTTGAGAATAATGCAACAGTAAACGTCACCACAACACCGATGACTACACCAGTAAATGCTACTATCCCACATTTAACTACAGCAGAGAATAATGCAACAGTAAATGGTACCACACCACCCATAACTACACTTGAGAATAATGCAACAGTAAACGTCACCACAACACCGATGACTACACCAGTAAATGCTACTATCCCACATTTAACTACAGCAGAGAATAATGCAACAGTAAATGGTACCACACCACCCATAACTACACTTGAGAATAATGCAACAGTAAACGTCACCACAACACCGATGACTACACCAGTAAATGCTACTATCCCACATTTAACTACAGCAGAGAATAATGCAACAGTAAATGGTACCACACCACCCATAACTACACTTGAGAATAATGCAACAGTAAACGTCACCACAACACCGATGACTACACCAGTAAATGCTACTATCCCACATTTAACTACAGCAGAGAATAATGCAACAGTAAATGGTACCACACCACCCATAACTACACTTGAGAATAATGCAACAGTAAACGTCACCACAACACCGATGACTACACCAGTAAATGCTACTATCCCACATTTAACTACAGCAGAGAATAATGCAACAGTAAATGGTACCACACCACCCATAACTACACTCGAGAATAATGCAACAGTAAACGTCACCACAACACCCATGACTACACCAGTAAATGCTACTATACCACATTTAACTACAGCAGAGAATAATGCAACAGTAAATGGTACCACCCCCCCCATAACTACACTCGAGAATAATGCAACAGTAAATGGTACCACCCCCCCCATAACTACACTCGAGAATAATGCAACAGTAAATGGTACCACCCCCCCCATAACTACACTCGAGAATAATGCAACAGTAAATGGTACCACCCCCCCCATAACTACACTCGAGAATAATGCAACAGTAAACGTCACCACAACACCGATGACTACACCAGTAAATGCTACTATACCACTTTTAACTACACCAGAGAATAATGCAACCGTAAATGCTACTACACTCCCCATGACTACACCAGGGAAAAATGCAACAGTAAATGCTACCACACAACCCATGACCACACCAGTAAATGCTACTATACCACCTATAACTACACCAGAGAATAATGCAACAGTAAATGCTACTACACCACCCATGACTACACCAGGAAACAATTCAACAGTAAACGCTACCACACCACCTATGACTACACCTGTAAATGCTTCTACACCACTTCTAACTACATCAGTTAATAACACAACAGTTAATGCTACCACACCACCCATGACTACACCAGGGAATAATGCAACAACAACAGTAAATGCTACTACACCACCTCTAACTACACCAGTGAACAATGCAACAGTGAATGCCACCACACCACCCATGTCTACAACAGTAAATGCTACTACACCACCCATCACTACTCCAGTAAATGCTACTACACCACCCCTTACTACACCAGGGAACAATGCAACAGTAAACGCTTCCACACCACCCATCACTACTCTAGTAAATGCGACTTCACAACCTCAAACTACACAAGGGAATAATGCAACAGTAAATGCTACCACACAACCCATAACTACACCAGGAAACACTACAACAGATAATGCTACCCCACCACCTCAGTCTACATCAGGAAATGCTACTACACCACCCATAACCAACTCAACAACTGGATCCATTGTCTCTACCACTAACCCAACTAACACTACAACCACACCAGGTGTGTTTGAATGAATGTGTTGTGTGATTGTGCATTGCGGACTAATTCAGGGTAATGCAGAGTTCACAACTGCATTTAATACTTTCTCCCATTCAAACACTGAGTGACATGACATTTTTTTTTTTCTTTTAGCTACCTGTCCTGCAGTGCCCTGTCCACCACTCGGTGTCTGTGTGAACTCCACCTGTCAGTGCGTGACAGGAACTATTCCTTTAAATAATGCCTGTGTGGAAAGTAAGTATCTGATGCCAAGCCTCTGGCCACGTATCCTTTTTCTTACACAGGGCCATGGGGCATTACAAAAATCATTCTATATTTAATTTGTATATAATCATTTGATTCTAGTGATTATTGGGAAGAAACTTTGTAGTAAAAAGACTACCAAGACAATCACTTTAACAACCCCACTCTCTCACCTCACATTCTGTTTATTTCCAGCTAAAACCTTCACTAGTTCACTTCGGGTGAACCGCATTTTTGAAAATGCTATGAATGATCCCAAATCACCTTTATTCCAGCAAACTGCTAAAGAGATAATTACTGCGGTAGGTCACAAACTTACATTACAATCTGGTCTTTTAACTTTAACATTTCACTTATTACTTTTAAAGATTTATTTCTATACACTGATTTATTTCCATTAAATGTGCAGTTAGCAATATGGAATTAATAATTAAATTAATAACTCTGCAAAATAAATATATTAATACAAATTTGGACAAAGTTATGTAATTTTTTGTTTGTTTGTGTGTGTGTGTGTGAACTTAGATACTATATTCAACTTTGAAATAAAGTTGAAATATTGCTTTATATTGCTTTGGTAGTACAGACTGTTTTAGTTTAATTGTTATGCCAATAAAACTTGGGACTGCCAAAGTAAAAACAAAACAAAAAAAACGATATGCTAGATCAATATCCTTCATTCTCAGTGAGCCTAAATAATTACTCTTTCCTCCCTTTTGCCATAGGTAAATGAAGCTCTGGGTAACCAGCCAAACTACATTAACAGCATAGTAATTAAACTGATGTAAGTGACCCTTTGAAAACAGTTCTTAACCACAGCTCTTACACATACTGTATGTATCATATTTGCAAATTACTAATCTCTTTGTATATATTTTTCTAGGTCTGGCAGTATAGTGGCTTCAGTAAACAGTTTTTTTGAGCCCAATTCTCTAGTCACACAGGAATCGGTTATATCTGCCATGGAAACTGCTATAAGAGATTGTAAAGTGGCAAACTGTGCCATTCTTGCTAATGCTCAATACACTGGTGAGTGGCTTGAAAAGATGTGTTGAAGAAGCTGTGATATGAACAGAGAGAAGAGTGTTTTAATGTCCACATAGAAAACCATACAATACATTATACTGGTTTCACCAACATACTGCTTTCACATAATTGTATAAAACAAATTTTTATATTAAATCATTCTTTATTTACATTATTTGACAAACATTCTAAACCTTAATTCCTGTTTAGACAACAAATTACCTTCGGAGTGTTAACATCAAATGCATGTAGAACATTTTGTTAATTTCCACAAAGATTGGTAAAGCAACTTCTCTTTGCAGTTGTATTAAACTGCAAAAGATTGTTCCTCAAATAAGAGTACAATACAGTGCCAGTGCCTAAACATGGAGTGTTTAGAGATGTTTAACCATGACTTTAGTCATGTTTTGTAATTGTGAATATTTTAGATCACATAAAAGATTGTCTTTCTATATCCCTAAAATATACTGGAGTTTTCTACATGAAATACTTTCAAGATACTGATATGACCACTATGCCACACATGCTATCATCTAAAACAAATTAATTATTGCTAAACAATTTTATTGAATATTGATTTGCATTTTTTATATAATTATAATGCATGTAGCTTTTTATGACTTTATATTAAATTAGAGACTACATTAAATATTTATATATTTACAAATTAATTTGTTACTTCGTAGGACCAATTAAAATTAACCAGAGAAGGTAAACATGATACAAATGGCTAAAACAATTAAAGGACCAAAGAGACACTTTCCGTCATACATCTATCTAAACAACTACCCACTAATATGTTGTCTGTCTCCCTGTCTCTTTCTTTATAGCAACCAACCTGTGTGAGCAAGCTCTGCCTCCTTGTGATGTTGACACTACAGTGTGTGAGGCCAAAGATGGGACCCCTGTTTGTACCTGTAAACCTGGCCATGTATCTAGCCAATACCAGGCCAGAAGCTGTAGAGGTGAGCATGTCTCTTTATTACTCCATTTGTATGGACTACCATCTGTGTTTGTGTGTGCATATCATAATCATCCGTGACCTTTGAGTTTGCTGTAGTTTTATCCATGGTAACAGACAAATGAATCCTGGTCTGCTGAGATAAGTGTTGAGAACATGCAGTACACTCACCAAACATTAAACAACGAAGAATGAAAAACAATGAAGAAATAAAACAATTATAAAATAAAGAAATAAATAAAATAATTTAAAAATAATACCGTTTCATGGCCGTAAAGAAGTGTTTTTGGCTGGTAATTTTTTTATTCTGCAACTATTGGCAGGAATAGCAAAAAGTTCATTTCTGCTCTTGAGTGAGATTCTCAGCAACAGGAATCACACAATCATAGCAAATTTAAAATGATCCATAGTTTAGTTCATTGTTTTTCTGTCTGCTTCACCATCTTTCTATGATTCAGTCTATTTACTCTCTACTCTTTTCACAGTTTGCCCTAGTGGATACAAAGCGCAAGAGAACACGTGTGTTCAGTGAGTACCATTTCATTTCTTTGTTCTTAAAAAAACACACGCTCTTATACATAATTAAATACACATCATCTCTTAAACTACAATATAAACTTTTTATGTTTGTCCAATAGGGAAAAAGTACAGTGTTTAAATAACAGAGATTTTTAGTCATGGCGTCAATTTGTAGGCCAACCTGTAAGGCCATAAAATAGAGGTTCTCATTTGATTAAAACAAGGTCGGTGTGTAATTTATCTGTTCCAGTAATGTGAACCATATTCTTACCTCAAACATGATGGTTCAGAAATACTAAATGTCTTCCTTGTTACAAACTAAACTGCTCTATTCAATAGTTGAGTGTATCATCAGTGTATTTGTAATAGAAGCTACTGCCCCCTTGTGTCAAGGCAATATTGCAACAGTCACATTACTGTTTCAGCATGTTTATGTCCTTTTCTTAAACAGATGTCCATTTGGCTATTCTGGATTCAACTGTGACGATTGTAATATATTATTATTACAGTATTTCCTAATTTTTAACCATTAAAGTAATTTTGTGTATATGTGTGTCTAATGACCTTGTCTCTCTGTGTAGCCTCTTTGTTGGCTCTAGTGGTGGTGGCGTGTGTGTTAGGGGGAATTCTACTCATTGTGATTTTGGCTGTTCTCATCTACATCTGTGTAACTCGTGGGTGAGTGTTTATGAGAGATCAGGTATAGGGCGTGCATTTCAATGTCTCTATGCGAGTCTTTTATGCTTGTTTATGGATGTACATTTCCCAATTTGTGTGTTTATTACTTATTTTACAGCAAGGAGTCATCAAACAGCAATTATTACAACAGCCCGTACCCTGCTGAGGAGTTCCAGGCTACGTGGCCCTCTCAGAACGTAACCCATATTCCTCGTGCCACTCTGGCATCTAGTTCCAGCATTGATGCCACTGGCAACAGTCTAGAGATGGCTGAAGGGCCAGGCAGGAAAGGCCACATTAATGGATTGGTGAGTACCTCCTTCCATTCAAAACTTCACAAATAAGTTTTGTGAAAAAACTTATTTGAAAAAAAACATTTGGTACACAGAGCAGTTACACTTATCTTTAACTTACAGTGGGTTTTGTTCTGTTTCAAAGACAAGCTTATTTGTGGACCTTTTTTCATTGAATAACTAATTATTGTAAAATTAAATTACTTTTTAAATATATGTTCTAAGTAAGATGCTTAAAGGATGCATAAGCACTACTGTTCAAAATTTGGGGTCAAGTTTCCACAAAAATATTAAGCAGCACAACTGTTTTCAACATTGATAATAATAAGAAATGTTTCTTGAGCAGCAACTCAGCATATTAGATCAATTGAAACCATTAAAAATCTTACTGACCCCCAAACTTTTACAGTAGTCTAAAATGATCTTATATACTATATGACAAATTATTTTATATTGCTTAATTTGTATTACTAATAATTATACCTCTTTTTTTATTGCCCCACTGTAAGTTACTTAAAGTGCCCCTATTATGCCATTTTTACGGTTCCTAATATTGTTTTGGGAGTCTCCTACAACAGGCTTACATGCATGAAAGGTCAAAAACGCTTTCGTTTTCTCACAATATGCACTTAATATCACCTCATTTTCCAGTGATTCTCAAACGATTAATTCGAAGCAGTTCAAAGATTCAGTCTCTCTAAACCTCTCCTTTCCATGAGCCTGCTCTGCTCTGATTGGTCAGATGGTCTAGTCTGTTGTGATTGGTCTATGGCATACACCACGCGTCGGAAATGATACGCCTATTTCAATAGTTCTGTATTTTGAATGCTCTATAGAAAATATAAACATCTATTATTTATCATACTTACAGGTTGTGATTCAGTGGAGCAGCTGGTCCAAATAAACAGGATACTAAGAAATCCATCTTTCAGAGAAGCAGTCGTCAGTAAAATTACATGTTTGTGGGCGGGGTCAAGTTGTTTGCTGCCGGCCAAAGTAGAACATAGGCGCGGATTATGCAAATGTGATACCCCGTGACGTGTAGCCATCACGGAAGTGGGATTCGAACGACTCGACTCGTTTCAGTTGTTCAGAGTCGATTCTTTCTTTTGGGAGACAATAACTTAATCGTGCACTTTCAGCTTTACAACTTTGCAGATTGTTTACATTCACATACAGCTACATTACACACTGCATGAAAGGCAATATTGGAAATGGCATAATAGGGCCACTTTAAAATTCTTCCATTAATCCAGCATGTATCTCATACTAACACTAATAATAGTGTCATCTGCCACCCCTAACAAATACTAAATATATTGTTCAATCAGACCCTTGTCCATTTCCATATCTTTAGCTACTCTGCTTGCCAAGCTGAACTCCAATGACACTCCTAATTGATCCAAAGATTGGATTATTCTAATTTTCTCTGAAGTATTACTTGACTGAATGACTGAAGTCCATTATGAGCAGTTGTAGTCCTAACAAGGCCACATATTAAGAGGGTCTATTGCATTAGTGAAACAACTACTTTTGTGGTTAGTGGAAAGCTAACAGTAGTACATAGTACTTGGAAAACTGAGCCTTCCCAGTTTCCCAGATTTCATAACTTTAATGTTTGAAATCATAATTTTATCATAATGGATGTACAAGTTTTGTGATTAGTTAGCTCATAAACAAACCTCTTTGTGTGTGTGTGTGTTTGTGCACGTATTTGTGGTCACTGTGTTGTGTATGTGGGCTTGATTTCTCCTCACTCCAAACACAATGACTGTAGAAGATTGGAGGAAAGGTAAGTCATCGACTCCTGGTGTGTCCTGGTGCATCATCAGGGACTGTAAAAGGCAAAGACAGTCCACTGATACATATATGAATGCACAACATACTGGCTGTGGTTCCACCTTAAACTTAAAAGAGCCAATTGCATTATTGAAACACTCAATATAATGGCTGTAGGAATGGAAGTCCCATCTCACAGTTAAAATATACAGCTTAAATAAATGCTGTTATTTTGAACTATTTGTCAAAGAATCCTGAAAAAAAAATTATCATTCTCTACAAAAATATTAAGCAGAACAATTGTTTTTAACATTGATAATACTAAGAAATGTTTCTTGAGCAATAAATGAGCATATTAGAATGATTTCTGAAGGATCATGTGACAGCTATGTATATATGCACCCCAATAATCCATTAGAAATTGGACTGATGGCTCAATCAGACTGAAAAGCCTGCATGTAAACACCTTTATAGATCCAATTGAGCTCGATCTGAATGAAATTTCATTTGAATTGAAAGGGGTGTAGACCTTTTCTAATCCGACCGAGAGGACATGTAAACACTTGATCGGATTGAAAACCGACACTGAAAAGTACTGTGCGTGTGCAATGACGTAGAAATTGTGTAATGTCACATGATGCGTGGAACGAGCTGTTGTTTTTGTAGAATTAAGTGTCTTTAATGACTGCTTGATAAATAAAAGTATCATGGTACAAAGCTTCACATGCTCATCTTCTAATTAGGATAAATATTAAGTCTTTAAAACAAAGAAAGGAAGCAATGACAAGAGAATAGTATGAGCAAACCGCAGGAATTCTCTGTATATTTGTGCGCATGTCAAAAGATCAAATACGATATTGAAGCTTGTGATATAAACGGTGCACATCAACCCAATCACTTTATTTAGCGTTCATGTAAGTTCAGGATTCATCAATCAGATTGATTTTATTCCGATTGAAACAAAGTGTCCATGTAAACATAGCCCCTGAAGGCTAGAGTAATGATTCTGAAAATTCAGCTCTGCCATCACAGGAATAAATTACATTTTGAAATAATAATATTTTAAACGAATAATATTTAATAATATTTGTATTTTTACTGTATCAAATAAATGCAGCCTTGGTGAACATAAAAGACCATTAAAACCATTAAAAAACTACCAGAACCCAAACTTTTCATTTTTGTTATTGAAATGTAATTTCAACAAACATTTACATAAATCGTGGTCTTTCATGGCTTGTATGGTTGAAAACTGCATTACAAATATGGCTGCCAAGTGAACTGACTTGCCTTAAAGGGACTTTAGTGTCCAAGTTCTTTCATGTAAAGGAATATTCTGGGTTAAACACAACTTAAAGTTTAAGTGAGTACCTTCTGCAGCATTAGCATCAACAAAATAATGAATGTACTACCAACATCACCTTCGTCATCACCTACGCATTTAACCTAGAAGGAATATTCCTTTAATTTCCTCTTTTCTCTTTGTGACTGGCATCATAACTTGCCACCGCTATATACACTCTACATTCTGAAGTGAATTACTGTTACGTTTGGGATGAAATCTTGATTTCGATCTCTGGTTTGACTTGTTGCATGCCATCATACGCTTTGCATGAATTTTTAAGCAGGTAATTATGATTTTCCTGCATGCTGGTATTATAAGATGAGATGTGCTGAGAGAATGAAGGGTTGTGGGTTGTGTTTACCTGTACGTGGCTAATATGGACTCGTTTCTTCTGCAGTCGGGCTCGTATGACCTCAGAACAGATGGCATGAGGACCTTTAAGGACATAAACCCCACACGGTACTCTTATCTGATGGGTCATGAAAACCCCTACTTCACACAAGGAAATGAGAAGAGATGAGGAAAACAGCAGAGAAATCCAGTGAGAAGTAAGAGGACAAGAAAAGAGTGCAATAACGACATGAATTATAAAAAGGCCTTAGATCAAAATGTTTCAGGAACGTTAACGCTGTCAAAACCAAACTGCTGATCACAGACTCAAAGTATATACACAAACGGCATTTGAGAGATACTTATATATATATATATATATATATATATATATGTGTGTGTGTGTGTGTGTGTGTGTGTGTGTGTGTGTGTATTTTACAGTTTTTATTCCAAATCTCTTTCACCCAGGATAAAATGCTCACTTCCTAAAAGTGCATTGATGATTGGGTTTCTTCCACCACAAGCTTGACAAACATGTTCTGTGTATGACAATGTGTTCTGTGTATGACAATGTTAGATGAACACTCAACCACTCATCTGTTGATACAGTATCTGTATTTATCAGTTTTTTTGTTTGTTTGTTTGTTTGTTTAGTCACTTCTTATGTTTTGTCTGCACATTTTATATTCAGAGTTTTGTTATATGACAGAGATCATGCATATGTTACTGTGGTTTTCAACTCAAAAATTAATATTACGTAATTATAAAGTATATAATATAACCATATTTGGCACATTTTATTTAAAAATCTTATCTGTGGAAGCAATAAAGGTAGATTATGCAATGTAATCCAGTAGTTCTGATGCATCTAATCTATATTCTGACAGTAACTGCACTTTGTAGGAGAGAGCATGTCATGTCTGGTGTCTATTGTTTGTGTGTGTGTGTTTTAAGTTATATCTATCAGAAAGCTTCCGATACATTCAGTTAAGTTTTGGTCGATATCTTCTCCAAAGAATTTATTTATTTTATGCCAGGACAATGCATGCCACCAGAAATTGATCTCTGTGCCTGACTGCGATGGTGTCTTTTGAATAGGAGAATTATGCAATGATGAGAAGTTCTCAACTGTCTCTTGAGAACCGTCTCCTCTGTAGTCGTGCCAATAATTATATTTATTTAAATCAGAACATGATGTTGTTTACTCAGCTGTCTGTTTGCTTCATATATATACTTATTTATGTGTAACTGGGATATTTTCTATAAAGCTTTTGTAAAAAAGAAAAAGCTCATTGGACAAAGTGATTCATCCTGTTCTGTATATTGAAAGGAAATAAATTAATTATTACGATATACGTAGTTATCTACAATTTGTCCAGTTGTTCTTATGCCTCCATATGTGCATATACTGTACACATTTGCACATTTTTTTTCTTTTTGAAATTATTATGTTTTTCAGTATTTATATTTTGTAAGTGTTAAAGACAGTTGGTTTATTAGCTTTTTTTTAGTAGTAAAGTAGTAAAAACATAGCATCTGTTTTATTTGATAACAACATTATAAAATCATTAATGTGTTAAATTCTGAAAAGTTAGTCAGAGGAAATCGGAAAGTACTTGAATAATTTTTAAATAAAAATACTGTCCATATCAGAGCAAACAACATACACATAAATAGTCACATTTAGATATACTGGGAAAACGGCCATTAAGAAAGATTACCTTTTATGCCCTGTGAGTGTGTGTGTGCACGTGTGACAGAGGGGATCTTGTAAATCTTTTCTTTAGAGTCAGATCAGGTGTAACAGATGTCTCTGAATTAATTAGACAGAAGCCCCAAAACAAGCCTTTCAACCCATGATGACCCCTGCACCCATTAATGAGGGGCTCTGACTGAAGAACATCCATATTACTTATGCAAGGTTACTGTGTCAGAAAAAACCACATGGCCCTATCAAAAACACACGGTGGGTTTAAACCTATAAGCCTGTTATTTATCTAAGACTTCATGTTTCCTGCAGTGATGAGGCTTACTAGCAAGTCTATCCACATTTGTATTTAATCTTATTATTTAATGATGTAGAATTTGGTACGTTGATGTTATAATCATGTTCATGTTATAAAATTGTTTTAGATGGCTTATAGTTTAATCACATATCTGAGCTCAAACATACACTGAGTTTACTTGTAAAAAGGCTTATTTTTTAATTTAATGCAAAATTGTTCATTACTAGTTCATTACAATCACAAAAAAATGCAAAGCGAAATTCTAAATATGGTTAACATACCAGTAAAAACTCAATACAGAAAATTACTTCATATTAACATGATACTTTGAGCTCTATTTATGGACTTTAGTATATATTAAGTATATATTTTAATTTATACATACATTAAACGTTTTCATTATTTATTTAACATTTACATTTAATCATACATTTTTCATTTAAAGTTATATTATCAGTTTTATATTTAATACAGTTTAATAAGATTTCAATTAAAAAGATCCATTTTTAATTCAAACGCTTTCATAAATTGACGATTTTTAAATGAGAATTGTTTTATTACAAATGATAACATCAGTGACTGACAAATCAGTTAAACACAAATTAGACAATTTAAAAGAAAGAAACTTTAAAAAAAGATTTAAAGAAAAATGAAAAAACAATTCAGTATTTGTATAAGAGTTGCTAAGAACATGATAAATGTCACAGATTTAAATGATTAATTTATAGGTTAATCAGTTTTATTTGATTCCTAAACAATAAAGAATCATGTTCATTTTTTTACATTTAGTTATTTGTTTATTTATCTGTGTATTTATTTATTTATTTCCAAACAAGATTCTAAAACTTTCTGTTCATGCCCATGTTTAATAAAAATTTTTTTTATATTTAGATAAAAAAGATTTTCGATATGGTCTCATATTTTGAACCCTACTGCACCAGAGATGATACCCACACTACATCTCAGAACCACACTAAACTTCTGAGCTCTGGACTGTGGATTAATCCATCTACACGCACAACAAAGAAACAGCAACACTCTCACATACACTCACATATAAATATGCTGCATGCCCATGGAAGAGAGAAGAGGGGGATGGGGATGGGGAGACTCTTTTCTCCTTCTCTACCTCCATGTCTTCCATCTGACTGTGAGTGAATGAGTGCTCAGGCTTTCAGAGCTGCTCAAGTGAACACAATAATCTAAATAGAGAAAAAAGAAAAGACACAGAGGGTGGGAGGGGGAGAGATGCCCACTGGAGGCAACACGACCCCTGCGTGCATGTCTTACAACACCCACCTGCTTGTGTCTCTGTTGATAGAGAGCGAGAGAGAGAGAGAGAGAGACTAGCTGTGGGATACTGGATGAACGGAGGAGAGAAGGGGAGGAGGTAGGAGGGGAGGGAGGATGGAAAGGGGAGGGGGTTTGAGTGTGTGTGGAAGAGAGAGAACCACAGAGAGACAGAAAGAGAAGGGACAGACGGCAGGGGCGGCAGCCGGAGGAAGAGTCACGGTGAAAGGATCAGTAAGGCAACCGTCTGGGAACGACAGATCCAGAGACACAGAAAAAAAGAGAGGAAGACGTAGTCAGAGGTAGGCTGCTCCTTTCTATTACCTTCATTTGCTTCATTATACAGAGCTAAACACAAAGCCAGGCCCAGCATGCACTGCATGAGATCATGTGTGCGATTGTATGTGTGTGTTTTGGTGATTATCTCATCTAGAGGGGCCTTATTTTCTCTCGGACCCAATCAGTGGCATATGTGCAAATCAGTACTGCACTGCAGATGGAGAAGAGAGAGATTCAGAGGAAGAGAAAGACTGTAATGGGGAGAGAGAGAGAGAGAGTAAGGATGCATTAGGCATACGAGTAGAGAAGAAAGTACTGATGCGTTCACAACAGTGCTGAGGAAAACAAGCCGATCTGTTTCCATTATTGATAGTAAGAGTCCATCAATTTGTTCACTTTTTGTCTGAGGTGTATGTGTTCCTGCAACAATGTAATAGAAACAGAATTAGGTCACTGCGAGTTGAATTCTAATGGTCTGAATCTGTTTGGAAGTGGGTGCAGGGTTAGAGAAATGCTGTTTGTGCCAAAACACTGCGTGTTTGAGTTTGCTTCATGACAACAGGCAGTTGAACTATTAATGAATTTGAGCTTGCAAAATAATGATTCTAACATGATGTAGTCTCCAGGCAACATATATTCCTCTATGATCAATGCAAGTTTTGAAGATGGTCCAGGAAAACATTCAAACAGATGTCTACAGATATCTTGTCGTCTTTCTAATCTGTAACAAAAGGTGAATTTGTGTGATCGCTGACATTTCAGCCCCAGGGTCAGCTTGTTATTCATAAATCCCATTTGGCACTGGTATAAAATCTTAATATGTCATCAATATGCATCACTTTTATCTTCAGAAGCCCTAAATAATAAAGACTCACTTGTTGTCATAGTATTGTTCTAGATAGATCAGTGGTTCTGATCAAACTTCCAAGGGAGCCTTGGATGTTATGTTAAAAATGTTAATGAATACACTGTAAAAAATAAGTGTAATTTTAACTGTAAAATTTTGTAAAAACACTACGGGGAAAAAAACAGGTTAGGTTAACAGTAAGTTCCCGTACTATATACAGGGAAAAACTGTAAAATATCTAACCAGACATTTCATGTCATTTTACAGTAAAATGCTGTTAATTTGACAGTTTTTAGAAGTAAAAATAACAAATCAATGTTTTCCATTCCATCAATGTATTTTGTTTAAATAATCATGTTTTTTAATAGTTTTTGTTATTAGTTATGTATATTTGGGATTTATGTTACACCTTCTGTTGTTTAATGAAAGTTTAATACATTATTTAAGTATCCTGTGTGTTACTGTTACGGGGCTGACGAGAGTGAGACATGCGGATCCATGTGCAAAGCTTTATTAACAGACATGGTTAAGGACAGGCAAGAGTCAGACAATGGCATAACTGTAAAATTTTGTAAAAACACTACGGGGAAAAAAACAGGTTAGGTTAACAGTAAGTTCCCGTACTATATACAGGGAAAAACTGTAAAATATCTAACCAGACATTTCATGTCATTTTACAGTAAAATGCTGTTAATTTGACAGTTTTTAGAAGTAAAAATAACAAATCAATGTTTTCCATTCCATCAATGTATTTTGTTTAAATAATCATGTTTTTTAATAGTTTTTGTTATTAGTTATGTATATTTGGGATTTATGTTACACCTTCTGTTGTTTAATGAAAGTTTAATACATTATTTAAGTATCCTGTGTGTTACTGTTACGGGGCTGACGAGACGTGAGACATGCGGATCCATGTGCAAAGCTTTATTAACAGACATGGTTAAGGACAGGCAAGAGTCAGACAATGGCAAAAGGTATATAGAGGGCAAGACACAAGAATAATCCTAGGGCTAGCGTGGGTCAACGATCCGCGAACAGAATTAACAGGGCGAGACTAGAGGGATAAATCCAGGTACACAGGTAAAGATCAGAAACCGAGAAAAACAGACAAGGCAAGACTAGGCTAAGACTAAGAAACTAAAGCAGGCTCCGTAACGTAGCTATCTCAACTAGCGATATGCACATACAATACTCGGCAGCCAGAAAGGAGTGAGAATGTTATATAGTGAGTGAGTGATATGATACAGCTGTGTGCAATCAGTGTTGTGTGCAATCAGTGTAATGAATGATGGGATATGTCGTCCGGGGTGATATGCAACAGTGTAGTGCGAGAGTCAATGAAGTGGAAAGGGTGACCTCTGATGGCTAGCAGACAGAAGTTCATGGACCGGATACGTAACAGTTACCATGATGGTGTTTTGTGTTTGCATGAATGACTCTGTGCACCTTCTATATATTAGTATATACTTCTGCTTGTGGCAAAGCTACTTGTGATGAGCTTTGATTCTTCATGTGGCTTTCTCTTTTACCACCTACAGTTTTTGGCCGTAAATGTGTTTACAGTTTTTCTGTATTTTCTACAAAATTATTCTGGCAACCACAGCTGCCAAAATTATTTTGTAAAAACTACAGAATTTATTTACAGTGTACTTAAACACAAAGTTAAGTTTTTTTCCCCTTTTAAATACTAGCATTTTAATTGAAAAATGCAGATTCAAAATCTGTTCTAGATAGAGGATTGATGCGTGTGATTAAACTTTGTTATTTGAAACAAGGAGATGATATCATGGCCTAACAAATACCAAATCTTACTAAATAACAATGTTAAGCAGATGTGCACAGACTTGCGAGTAAGTTTATTAAATCTTATAATTGTTATTTTATCTTAAAGTGTCTAGGTCATAACTTTATTTCAGACCTCACATGCACTTCACCGGTACTGGATAAAAATTCATCTTGGGGATATAAAAACTCCTCTAACAATCCTGTACATGCTTTCTGTGAAAACCTATCCATTTCTTAGATAACCTGATTGAAATACCTTCGCCAGTATAAAAGTTTAAAGGAGCCGAATCCCATGCCAAGCAGCTCTACATCTGCTTTCAGCTGTGTAAGCAAATAGTTCATTATGATTATTCGCCCATCAGTCACAGGCACCATCAGCTAACTAACAAACCCAATGAAATCAAATTTGGAGTTTTGTAGCTTTTAGCTTACGTGTTAGCGTGAGACATGCGGATCCATGTGCAAAGCTTTATTAACAGACATGGTTAAGGACAGGCAAGAGTCAGACAATGGCAAAAGGTATATAGAGGGCAAGACACAAGAATAATCCTAGGGCTAGCGTGGGTCAACGATCCGCGAACAGAATTAACAGGGCGAGACTAGAGGGATAAATCCAGGTACACAGGTAAAGATCAGAAACCGAGAAAAACAGACAAGGCAAGACTAGGCTAAGACTAAGAAACTAAAGCAGGCTCCGTAACGTAGCTATCTCAACTAGCGATATGCACATACAATACTCGGCAGCCAGAAAGGAGTGAGAATGAGTGTTAAGTAGTGAGTGAGTGATATGAAACAGCTGTGTGCAATCAGTGCTGTGTGCAATCAGTGTAATGAATGATGGGATATGTCGTCCGGGGTGATATGCAACAGTGTAGTGCGAGAGTCAATGAAGTGGAAAGGGTGACCTCTGATGGCTAGCAGACAGAAGTTCATGGACCGGATACGTAACAGTTACCATGATGGTGTTTTGTGTTTGCATGAATGACTCTGTGCACCTTCTATATATTAGTATATACTTCTGCTTGTGGCAAAGCTACTTGTGATGAGCTTTGATTCTTCATGTGGCTTTCTCTTTTACCACCTACAGTTTTTGGCCGTAAATGTGTTTACAGTTTTTCTGTATTTTCTACAAAATTATTCTGGCAACCACAGCTGCCAAAATTATTTTGTAAAAACTACAGAATTTATTTACAGTGTACTTAAACACAAAGTTAAGTTTTTTTCCCCTTTTAAATACTAGCATTTTAATTGAAAAATGCAGATTCAAAATCTGTTCTAGATAGAGGATTGATGCGTGTGATTAAACTTTGTTATTTGAAACAAGGAGATGATATCATGGCCTAACAAATACCAAATCTTACTAAATAACAATGTTAAGCAGATGTGCACAGACTTGCGAGTAAGTTTATTAAATCTTATAATTGTTATTTTATCTTAAAGTGTCTAGGTCATAACTTTATTTCAGACCTCACATGCACTTCACCGGTACTGGATAAAAATTCATCTTGGGGATATAAAAACTCCTCTAACAATCCTGTACATGCTTTCTGTGAAAACCTATCCATTTCTTAGATAACCTGATTGAAATACCTTCGCCAGTATAAAAGTTTAAAGGAGCCGAATCCCATGCCAAGCAGCTCTACATCTGCTTTCAGCTGTGTAAGCAAATAGTTCATTATGATTATTCGCCCATCAGTCACAGGCACCATCAGCTAACTAACAAACCCAATGAAATCAAATTTGGAGTTTTGTAGCTTTTAGCTTACGTGTTAGCTCTTGTGTATTCCTAAATTTTCGAAATGTTGTGCTCTATAGAATATAAAACCCCAATACAAACTTCAAATCACCTGCTTGTTTATTATTATTATTATTTTTAAAGGGATAAGCCCACTGATACAGTATCATTCAAAACTCTTTAAAAAAAACTTTTAGAAATGAATTAAATGAATGCCTTTATTCAGCAAGGATGCATTAAATTAACAAGAAGTGACAGTAAAGACATCTATAATATTACAGAAAAGTTCTTGATTTTCACAAAAGAACATTAAGCATCACAACTGTTTTCAACATTGTTAATAATAAGAAGAAATGTTTCTTGAGCACCAAATCAGCCCCAAACTTTCAAATGGTGTATATCCCATTCAACTTTCCTGTTTTATTAAGATAGGTCAACACAAAAAAGTAAAGCTGCACTTGTCAAGCAATTGTCTTCCACTGCTGAAAAAAACAAAATGTCCCGTCCTGAAATCAGACTATTGGTTAAGCAAGAAGCTGACATGTCAAATTGCTGCTCAAACAATGACTAATTGTTTGATGGCACAACAGAGCCAGTGTTTCACTTTTCAGAGGAATTAACCTAAAACAGGGACTGGTGAAAGTTTTTTACAAAAATTACAGTTTCCATTTAAAGCTAGCTCAATCTAAGAAGAATCTGAAGTTTAGAATGAAAGACGTATTGAAACTAGACTGTTTTCAAATTATTTTTAAGATATTAAATCATATTCAAATGAATGAACCTTGTGCAGGTGGCCTAAGAAACATAAGCTACCCTATTGGTTACATATTTCGCTCTGGTTCCCTTCAGAGTCTCAGTCAGTAAATATCCTCCATACAGCAGGCAGACAGCACCATTCACCTAACATCATTAAATGTATTTTATACACCCTTAAAGTTTTGAACAACCAGATTGGATTTGATGTTCTGAAATTCAGCACACATCCGTAAGAATTAGGAAGGCCAAATAGATGTACTATCTGCTGAAGACTGCCTGACCTAAACAGACTTTCAAAGCCAATAAGGTTGCAGAGAGGTCTTTCTCAGTATGTGTGTGTGTGGTTTCCTTAGAACCAAGCCAAAACCCGAAAAGGACTCTAAGCTGTTCTAGACAGAAATAGCACACATGATGACGTGTTCATGCTTTTATGCCAAAGCTCATATTTGTCTTTTTAGGTTTATGAACAAGCCATGCAACGTTAACATTACACTGGCTTTCTACATAAGATATTATTCTTGATAAAATGCAGCACTACTGTATAACATATACGCATACACAAATAATGTACTGTATATAAACCCTTTTAAAAGTTTGGGATAATAAAAAAAATTACTTAATACTTTTATTCAACAAGGACATATTCAATTGTTCAAAAGTTACAGTAAAGACATTTAGAATTTCTATTTTAAATAAATTATGTTCTTCTGAACTTTCTTTCATCAAAGAATCCTGAAAAAATATATCACGTAAAAATGTGTGGAATAAATTAATAAATCACTTATTTTATAAATTACTTTCCAAAATCATTAAAACATCTGGAATTTCTCCACTGATAGACTGTATATTTATCATTTAATGTTTGTCTTACACCAAACCCCATTTTTCTCAATATTAACTTGTACTGTTTAACAACACACACACACAACAAAAACACACCTCATATGCCCGTGTATTGATTTCACTAAGCTATTTTCCATAAAGTGGGAAAGACATTGTAGCGGATTAGCTCATGGGGAAATATGAATAATTAACCATAACTAGTTATAATTAACTATTCATATTTTAGATCCACTGTAGATATTTAGCTGACCACTCAGGGTCAACCGTCTTGTCAATTCTAAGAACGTTAATTTCCTGGTTAAAGGAAATAACTTTCTTACTGTACAATTCTATAAGTTTGTAACGTAAATCTGCATGATTATTGACTCCGGTTATGAGTAAACAATGAACACGTCAAGTGTGATACAAGTAAGGTTTTATTAACTACATAAACACTTAAACTAGTCTAACATACTACATAAACACATTAAGCCGGTCTAACATACACATACGCACACACACACACACACACATACAGTTGGTATAGGAAAGGGTGCACAGGCGTGGAGGGCTTGCACTGCTGGCGACCGACACTCAGCCGGCTGTCTTCTGCCCAAGTCTATGCGCAGTCGGTAGGACCGTTCAAATTCCTTCCGAACCAAGCCAAGCTCCCCTCCAATTGCTGAGTCAGGGCCCGGACCTCAGCTCTGTCTGTATGCAGGTGGCCCCGTATTTGTGAAATCTAGCTAACAAAATATATATTGTGTGTTGGAGTGTTCCAGACGCTACAACATCATTCTTCAGAGCAAAAATAACTGTGAATTTCTGTCCGTGGTAGCCATGAAGGGATTATTAGTTTATCTCTCACATTCACTCTTCTGATATTTCTGAGAATTGAATGCAGTTTTATGGTATTATAGGTGCCTGCAGATATCTATCATCACCTTTTTAAAATTTTACAATGAGTAAATCGCTCTGTGATTTGCCATATTTTTACACATACTGTGCAATAACACATGGCTTGTTATGTTGGACTCGTGTATTTTGAATATACATATATATTTTTCAACAGGCACAGCAGGAAATGCAATTGATGTTATATTGTGTGTCACTACATTGAACAGTCACAGATGTTCTAATTCTTTTCACAATTAGGATTAGTAGCTTAGTTTAATTTCAGCTCCCTAAATAAGCATGAGCTTGTTCATATATACAATAAGCAAATTTCTTCTGCTTCACCTGCCCTCATTGCTCAGTCTTGACATGTAAGTACATTTGATTTATATAGCACATTTAAACACAGCGAAGCGGACCAAAGTGCTGAACAGAAAAAACAAGTCCATCAACATGTCCATCTTCATGCTAAACTCTCAGTCTATACAAAGTGTCAAACTTCACTGCAGCTCATTTCTAACTGGTTCAATGAATAAAACATGTTACAACCCTCCTTATGTTGAATGGAAGAAAACGTGGAAGAAAAACTGCAGCAAAGTTTCTATTTTTTCTAGACGGATCAGTGCTTGTGGAAATGCTATTTCTGTTTCACTAGGCACACTGAAAGTATGGCATCTGTGAATTGCTTTGGGAGCGTGTGTGAGGGAGAGATAGTGTAAAAGAGGAAGTTGTGGCAGCACTCTGAGCTTTGTGTTCCTGCTCTTGGCACCAACAGAACAGCATCATTCATCTCTTCCAGTCACTCTCTCCCCTCTATTCTAGCACTTTATCATGGCTGAATATTCATTAATCATATCACATAGCACACTCAGTAAGATGATATGAAATATAAGTCATGACGGGATATTGATGAACCGATCTACTGCAGGCATTTAAACTGATTACTAACCTTGAGGAAACGATAGGAGAGTTTTTTACTCACAATTTGTACAGTGTCCCAACTTTTTTGGAATTGGGTTTGTAGATGGTAGATGAAAAAATACATTGAAAGGACATAAATGATATTGTAGATTAAACAAAAAACAGGTAATTTGAACATGGTTATTATTTAAAAAACTAGTGTACCAGTGGTATCATAGGCCCGTGGTCTATGTGAGTTTATTTTTGGTCATCTGTGACATGTTTTTATGTGTCTGAATCCTGACACCCTGGTCTAGTTGGATTTGCTTTTTGACATTTATCAATATTGCTCTTTATACAATACAGATTGTTTCAAAGCAGATTCACATTAATAAATGGGGAAATAACAGTGTTTATGTTGTAAAATTCAATTCAGCTATAAGGAGCTCTAAAGAAAAGAATAGTGTCATTATTCAGCTCAAGCCAGTTCAATGTTGATTCAATTCAGTTCAGTAGCAGTTGCAAATTTGTCTTGTCTTGACAAATAGAGTTGCTTAATATGGTTGTTCAGAGCTTGTGCTTGTTTACCTTTCAACAACCTTTTGACATCACTGCTCCAGTATGTGTTCGGATGAAAGAAACAAACTACAATTTAAGATCTATAAATTAGGATTTTTTCTAGTTTCAGAATATTTTTACTAATTTATTACATCAAAAATCTGTTATGAAATGATAACTTTAATTACACCGTCATATGAACAATCATTCAGTAGACACATACAGAAACAGTTCAAATCTCTCTCTGTTCGAATCGAATTGAAAAATAACATGCGGCTCAGTCAGAGAGTCAGTTGCAAATAAGTCACAGTTCTGAATGATTCACTGAGTTAGTAAAAATAACCTGTTCATAGGAGTCATTTGTTCGCGAATTGAACACCACGGCTCGCGTTGTGTTCGTTCTGCGTGCTGTAAACAAGGGGAAGCTAAACATATAATAAACTAATGTTATCTCGCGAGATGATAGCCTAATTAGACTTTAAGCTATTATCGCAAATGTTTATTTTTTTTATCCCTTTACCGTAAACCCAAAAACCAACTAATGTAAAAACACTGTCAGACTTTGGGGTACTGTAATAAAGATAATCTCTCTTTTAGGTCAACCCCTTCCTGATCGATGAAAGAAACCATGCCAGTCCTCTCTGCAGGAGCAGGTGTGCTGCACATCTATAAAAACACACTTGTATGTATGTATAGTCAGAATATTGACACTCACTCTGATCTCCTGTTCGTATGTAGGGTTGCATGAGACGCTTGCCCTGCTGACCTCACAGCTGCATCCAGATGCCAATCACAAAGAGGACATGGTCTTCCTCAAGGATGTCTTCAGTGAGAGGAGTCTCAGCTATCTGATGAAGGTGTGTGTCATTAATGCATGGCTTTGCATTGAATTCACCTCACATATGCTGCACCATATATTTACAGCATGTATGATTTACCTTAGCTTATTTTAAAAGGTATGGCCGCAAATATGTTAGAGACCAATCATCTCCAGCTCTGTATACATGTGCATTGTGCGTGTCTTTGCTAGATCCATGAGAAGTTGCGTCAGTACGAAAGGCAGAGCCCCACCCCTGTTCTCCACAGTGCCTCCACTCTGGCAGAGGATGTAAGTGCTGCAGTCTGTCATAGCAAGATTAATGCGGCTTTTTTTTACAATAATATATGAGAACAGAGTTTAATGGTATCTGGGGGGAATGAGGAAACCCTAAAATGTTTGACTCAGCAACTTTGGTGTGCCTCTAATTTAGCCATACTCCAGGGACAAATTTGCTAAAAAAATATCCATAATTTCTTTTTTTATTTTATAAAAAAAATTATAATAAAAATCTAAAATATTAATAATCATTTATTTAACAAATAACAATTGAAAAAAATGTGCCACATTTTGAAACATAAATAACATTTATATAATATTCTAATGTACACTAACAGTCAAAAGTTCAGAATAATTACTTTTTAAAATGTTTTTTTCAAAGAAGCCACTTATGCTCACCAAGGCTGCAATTATTGGATCAAAACTTTTAAATAAATTTGACATTATTTTGAAATATGAATACAATTTAAAATAGTTGTTTTCTATTTGAATAGATTTTGAAATATAATATATTCCTGTTTTTAGAATGATTTCTGAAGGATTATGTGACCCCGAAGACTGGAGTAATGGCTGCTGAACAGTCAGGAATAAATTACATTATAAAACATATTAAAACAGAAAACAGTTGAAAGTAAATTGTAATAACATTTCACAATATTTCTGTTCATTTATTTATTTAATTATTTGGTCAAATAAATCCAGCCTTGGTGTGCATAAGATTAAAAAAAAGCTGCGATTATGCCAAACTTTTGACCCGTAGTGTATATAATTGTAAAGATTTATAATATTTTGAATTGTTTTCTTTGATAAAATGATAAGCCTGTTTTTAAAGTCAGCTATTTGATAGCTTGTTAAATGCTTTGATTTTCGTCTATCACTGATTGGTAGGTGGCAGAGGAGTTGCAAAGTGGACCAATGAGTGCTGAGGAAAAAGAGCTGCTACATTTGCTGACATCACCACATCTCAAGGTACAAACAATATTTTTACTGTTAGACCTTCATGATAACTGTTAGTCAAAAACACAATCTAGATATCTAGATAAATCTAGCTCCTATCCCTCCTGCATTGGTAGGCGGTTTTGTCAGTTCACGACACGGTGGCGCAGAAGAACTTTGACCCAGTGCTGCCTCCTCTCCCCGATGACTTTGAGGATGAACTAGATGAGGAGTCTGTCAAGATTGTCCGCCTAGTCAAAAACAAAGAGCCGCTGGTAAGAGAAATAAACAATGCCAGTTGCACAAATACAGTGACTCTTGAACTGTTATTTTAGTATTATTTATAGATTATTATACTATTTGATAATATTTTGAATAGATTTTATTGTTACATTTTCAGTTTTCATTTAAATTTCAGTTGTAGTTTTGCCATGTCATTGTGCATTCTTGTTGTAATTTTTATGATTTTTACAATATATTTTTATTTGGTTTTAATTTATTTTTATTTCAGTTTTAGTAACTTTAATACTTAAACAAAATAAGAAATGTTGCCTTGGCAACTAAAGGAAATACATGTAAGTTACATTTAAATAAAAGTTCAGGATACAAGTCAGTTTGGTCCATCAGCATTTTGATCCATCATATATTTTTAGGTTGTTGTTTGGTGTTACTCTGCAGTTGAACCTTCTTTTTGTTTCTTTCTATCTCTCAGGGTGCCACTATTCGGCGGGATGATTCCACAGGGGCCGTGATTGTGGCTCGGATCATGAAAGGAGGGGCTGCAGACAGGAGTGGTGAGTGACACTTCAAAGAATTTGTCTTCAATCTTGTGGTCTCGGTTTACTCCATGCCCCAATATACACCTGAGAATCTTTTTTAATTACCATTGAGTATATCAGTGGAACACCAGTCCAGTCTTCAAAGGTTATATTCGTCTCTAAACCCATTGAAGTGTCTGAGTATCCTGCACCTCTACTGAGTGTGCTAGATATGATTATTTTTACCTCGCTCTGTGATGAGCACTAGACTGCATGTCTGCTGCAATGACACATGGCCCATCTTTGTGGTCAAAGAGAGTCTCCAGAGACTCAATCAAGGGAATCAAACAGACTCACTAACCACCTGACCACAGCTGTTGCCATGGGAATATAGTGTGTGTGTGTCTGTGTGTGTGTGGTGGGAATGATCTATTTGGTCATTAAAAATTCATTGAACTACGCCTATAAAGTGTATTATGGATCACACACAGCAGGTACAGCTTGAACATGTGGTAGTGAATCTGTAAATCAGGTAGTCCTCCTCTATCCGCAGGTCTGGTGCATGTCGGTGATGAACTGAGAGAGGTCAACGGCAGCTCTGTAATGCACAAGAGACCAGATGAGATCAGTCAACTACTGGTAATACTATTCTCCTAGACCTCCTTCACATTCATTTGGTATAATTCATTGCAAAAACAAAAAACAAAAAAGACACATAAACACAGAATTAACAACTCCTGCTTCCTAAATAAAAAGAGTTTTCCTATCATCAAAGCATTTTATTCACACAAAAATGCAAATCCTGTCATCATTTACTCTTTCAACTTTTGTTCTTGTCCTCATGTACGATTGTTGTTCTTCTGTAGAACATAAAAGAATATATAAAAAAAAAATTCTTGGTCCATATAATGTGTCTATAAAATATATTTATTTTCTTTGCCTATTTAATGTATTTGCTATCATTTTATTATAATTATCTTATGTAATATAATATAATAATATTATTTCACTTTTTTCTCAGCAAATGTTGGTTGTGAACAGTTCAATTAATTGTAATATCATATAATTCATTGTTTAAAAAAAGTTCAATCAATTGACAGTCCTAATAAAATCAAACCATAATCATTCCTGTTTATTGTCATAATAAGATAAGTAATTTAACTGTTTTTTTTTTCTTTCTTAGTCTCAATCACAAGGATCTATCACACTGAAGATCATCCCAGCAATCAAAGATGAGGACAAGCTGAAAGAGAGCAAGGTAATTGACTATAAAACGGCATAAAACCTAGTAATTTATCAGTAATCAGTCCAGCATCTCTCCAGTTTTTTCTCTTGTTCACTGGGTTTGCATCTTGTTCATACCATGTGTTTTCTTCAGGTCTACATGCGAGCGCTGTTTGATTACACTCCATTGGAGGACAAAGCCACGCCATGTCAGGAGGCAGGGCTTCCGTTTAAACGAGGAGACATCCTGCAGGTGGTCAGTCAGGGTGATCAGACGTGGTGGCAGGCCAAGAGAGTGGGAGATTGCAACCTGCGTGCAGGACTCATCCCATCCAAACAGTTTCAGGAGAGGTGAGACAAAACATCTAAAAAACACACACCCTACTACCTTAAAGCTGTTTAGTTTGCAGGAAATCAAGACATATTTTAGTTAATCGATCGATCAAATCAATCAATAAACAAACAAACTACTCAGCTACTTGTACCATTTAACCTAGACTGACCAGCAGGGGTGTCGTTAGTGTAGGGAAAAGGGTGAGTGCATAGGGCCCATAGGTTGACAGGGGCCTTCTCACCCACCCCCCACTGAAATTGTAATGATGAAGTTGCAATTTAGTACATTTTAATTATATTAACTTTAAATGTAATATCGTATAAAACCTACAGTAAAAATGATCATCAAGTACTGTACTGTATGTTAGGCAACACATCAAAATGTGTACTCCTTTAAAAACAAAAGATGATTAAAACATAAAATGTCCTTTAAATTAAACATTATTACAATGTGCACTTTAAAAAATATCTTTAAATACACTTAAGTGGCATTTAATTTTATTAATAATATAGCATCTGTATTATATATATTTTTTTCTTCTTTTTTACTGAAGTGCACATTCAAAACAATAAAGCACACTTTGATTATTTTCCAACATCAGCTAAAAAAATGTTTTAACACAAGATAACCTGGAATGCTTAAACACAATTGTAGCATGACCACAGAATTAGCTTCAATGTGTAAAAAGACAGTTTTCTGTTTCTAAATAACAGCGCTATTAAGTATTTTGTGAATCAGGTTTATATGAACAGTGTGGCTGCTGCACCATTATTAGCGTTGTTAGTAGCTGCAAATTACATACAGTCTCTGAAAGCTGTGGTTTCCTTTAGGCTAAATCAATAAAATTAATTTTAAATTATTCTCCCTGTAGGTTTTATTAGACATAGATTGGCCAGCCTGCCTTTTTGTCCCCTCTTTCATCTCAGCGGGTTGCATCTTAGCTATACACTCTTAAAAATAAAGGTGCTTCAAAAGGTTCTTTAAGCGATGCCATAGAAGAACCATTTTTGGTTCCACAAAGAACCATTTAGTCAAAGGTTCTTTAAAGAATCATCTCTTTCTTACCTTTTTTATAATCTGAAGAACCTTCTATCGCCACAAAGAACCTTTTGTGAAACAGAAAGGTTCTTCAGATGTTAAATGTTCTTTATGGAACCATTTAGACAAAAAGGTTCTTCTATGGCATCGTGAAGCACCTTTATTTTTAAGAGTGTACTCTCATGCAAAGAATGGGAGCATTTTTTTCTCACTGTTGAATTTTTTTGATCTCGCTTAATAGTATATTTGATGGCTCCAGAGACAGGAATATCCAGTCAGACTAGTACAAAACATTATTGTCAAGCGATTTGATGCTTTTCCACTGTTTGAAGTTCTCCCCATATGGTTTTTCCCCTCAGGCGGTTAGCCTACAGAATAAAACTGGGGACCCTTCAAAGCTCAAAGTCTCCAAATAAAGCTGTCTGTGAGTATTTCAGTAATTCTTCCTTCCTTACGGATAACCCCTTCAGTTATTAATCAGTGTTGACTAACGGGAGGCATAATTTGCTGGTGTGTGTGCTTGTGTGAAGTGGCCAGGTGATTACTGAGCTCCAACCAAATGCTTCATGTTCACTAATCTAAAGAGAACAGACACATCTACAGTTTAGCAAAATGCATAATGCACCCTTTTCACTTGCTCTCTCTCAGAGACTCTCATTATGTGCATTATATCTGTTCCTCTTCTGCTTCTTCCTTAATTACTCCATCAGTGTGTGGGTCTTCACTGCTGGACACACTTTGACCTGCAAGATGTGGGAATGATTGAATTTATGAAACTCTCTATTTAATAAATAAACTTCAGGGCCAGTGTAGCATCTTTTCCAATTCAGAGTAAATGAAGTCTGCAGTTTTGGCTTCTTTTGTCATGATATCTTTTCCTTTTCTTATTACTGCTGACACCAGATGACCAGGGATGTGACAAAGGTGGGTCTTCTAGATCTGAGTTCACACATTCACCCTCAAATACACACACAACACACTTGTATTGGTTCCACAATGATTATGAAATTAGGCCAGTGTGTCACCTAATCTATTAATTCCTGGACAGAGACAACTGCTGTTCTACTGTACACACACACACACACACACACACACACACACACACATTCAATGAGAGAGAGGCTTTGATGCATGACACTTTCCAGGAATAAGGTATACTTTGATGGTCCATTACTTTTTTTAAAGCATTAGAGGAACAAATCACACAAAATTTATTGCCTCATATAAAATGAACCTAGCATGACAAGTAGCTAGTTTTATAAAAATCAAACGTCTGTATCTTCCCTTAATGTTGCTTTTGGCCCGTTCCACTTTAGAGGTCCTGGCCTTTTTTTTCCTGAGATTCTCACTTCACTCCATTTTCCATCTTTTCCCTTATCAAGTCTTCCTTTAATACACTATCAACTAATGTTCTGAGATCTCAAACATCACGTCACTTTTCTTCTTCAATCCTTTCTTTATTCTCTTCCTAAAGGTGCACTCAGTAATACTTGTATTTTATACTGAAATAAATAATTTAAAATCATGTACACTGGAGATGAAGACTCCAGTAACATCAGTAGCCTAATAAAAATAAATATCTAAATATTCACTACTGTTTAAAATTTTGGAGTCTGTAAGATTTCTTATTGTTTTTGAAATAAGTCTCTCATGCTCACCAAGGCTGCATTTATTTGACCAAAATACAGTAAAAACAATAATATTGTGTAATAAATGTTAAAATAACTGTTTTCTCTTTTAATATATTTTAAAATGTACTTTATTCCTGTGATGCAAAGCTGATTTTTCAGCAGTCATTACTTCAATCTTCAGTGTCACATGAGTCTAATAAGCTGATTTCATGCTCAAGAAACATTTCTTCTTCTTATTAATGCACAGTTCAATATTTTTATGAAAACGTTGATACAGTACATTATTTTGCTAAATAGAATGTTTAACTGCATTAAACAGCATTTAAATATTTTGTAACATTATAAATGCCTTTATTGTCAAAAAATAAATAAATAAAATATAAATAAATAAAAAAATTAAAATAAATAAAATCTTATTGACCCCAAACTGTTTCAATTGTAGCTAACCAACTCATGGGGGTCTTGTTGAGACCAACACATTTTGCTTTTGCATAATACTACATTAACACTGTTAGGTGTCAGTGTAAGTCCTGTATGGCCAGTGCAACAGAAACACAAAATTACTGAGTACACTACAAATATTTCCAGTTTTCTTTCATATAATGTCTATAGCTCTCAGGTGATGTTATATTCCATTACAAACCCCTGGGTTGGCCACGCCCACCACAGACTACTGAAATATGTGCTGCCTGCCTGCCTGCCTGCCTAACTGTTGAACCTGCTTGTGTAACTGTAGTTCTGCAACCCTCCTTCCTCTCTCCTGGTCTCCTCTGCTCACTCCCTCTCTCCCTGCTTGCCTCCCTACAGAGGACTGTGACTGTGAGGGGTATTTCAATGGACAGTACATAGGTGAGAAACTGCATGCCCACTCCTGTACCCAGCGCCTGCTAACTCTGCTAAATGTACTAAACTTCTGCCTGAGTGAGCTTCTGTTACTGCCTGCCTGTGTGCCAAGAGCTATGGCCGAGCCCTTGATGAGGGGAGGCCGGATTGGGGGGCGGGGTGTTGGTATTTGGCAGTGTGAAGGGAATTTTAGGTCAGTCAAAATCTTTCACTGTGAAGAAACCAATTTGGAGTGGTGCACTGATGCCTTTGAAAGAAAGAGTGGAACCTGTTTGCTATTTTTGTTTACACCTTTGATTTAACATAGTATTAGAAAGAGTATGTGAGTGGAGCAGAATGACAGCAATTTCCCCCTCAGTAATCACTCCACTGCAGCTCCTTTTATTTGGAAGGAATGCATTAAATGAATCAAAAGTGACAGTTAGGAAATTTATGGTATAAAGGATTTCTATTTCAAATAAATGCTGTTCTGTTGAACGTTTTTATTAATCAAGGATCCTGGGGGGAAAGGGATCATTTGACATTGAAGACTGGAGTAATGACTGCTGAAAATTCAGCTTTGACATCACAGGAATAAATTATATTATATAATTTATATATAAAATATATTAAATTATAAAACAGTTATTTTAGATTGTAATAATATTTCACAATGGTACTGATTTTAATGGTAATGTTTTAATCGAATAAATTCAGCCTTGGTGAACATATAAGTCATCTTTCAAAAAAATGTAAAAATCTTAATTATTCCACACTTTTGACTGCTAGTACTATAAGTGAAATAAGTGCAGTTTTTGGAAAATGGATGTATATGATGTGAATAGAGTACACAATCACGAAAAAGTGCAGAATTACCAACAAATCTATGACCATTTTCACAGGTTTTTCACACTTTTCTGTCAATGCCTTTCTGATAATAAAATACATTAAATTATAAATCATAACATTTTACATTATTTTCATTATAAATCTAAATTTATTTTAATAATGCGTAAAAAAAATGTATTATAAATTAAATTAATTTAAAATAATATAATTGATATATTATTGTATTTGTATAAATACTTTCTTTTTTTTGAGCTATTAGTCCATAATCACTGTTTTGCACTTGATGAATTCTTGCTCACATACAGTATAGCTCTGCGTTATATCCATGATGGAGAGATATTGGAGTGGATTTGGAGGGATTGAGAACACCAATACTCCAACTTACAAATAAAACATCATTGCTTTAGGCAATATCGGGCTCTGCACCACTCACATACTCTGATAATACAAAGACAGGGTTTGTCATCCCTCTGAGTTAAAAGTGTTAGCAACATGTCTGGCATGTTTCAAGTCTCATTAGTTAATGAGTGCTAATTTGAGGAGCTGTTAAAAGAGTGAAGAAAAGCAAGTGATATTCAGTTAATATAGTGTTAGACATTTCATTCACAGGCTATCACGGTATTTTCACAATGTGTAGCAGCTGCAGAAATCTGTGTCAGTAGGGATGACCGACAAGCTGCCAGATTTTCATCTTCATATCTTCACTTTCTCTCTGACACCAGTGTCTCTTTCTTTTGATCTGTGAAGAGTTTTGATACTGTGACTTTCTGTGGGTGGCGTGAATAAGTATTGCTATGGTATTTGAAACATTGAAGCAAATTATCAGCGCAGAAACTTTTTTGCTCACTAACTATCTGTAATTTTTTTCCCCAAGTAATAATTACGTTGAGATAGCGTGTGCAGTGATTATTTAAATTTCTGCAATTATGCCTCCTTTTTTAATCTACATTAGGCTTATTATGGATTGCGCCTTATTATACTATTTCTGCCCATGGAAATTCCAATTTTATTAGAAGTAGATTTTTTTTTTTTAAAGAAATTTATACTTTTATTCAATAAGGATGCATTAAATTGACCAAAGGTAACATAAAAAGACATTTATATTTTAAATTGTTTTTTTTTATTTTAAATAATATTAAGCAGCAAAACTGTATTCAGCATTGATAATTGTAATAAGACATGTTTATTGAGCAGCAAATCAGCATATTAGGATGATTTCTGAAGGATCATGTGACACTGAAGACTGGAATAATGATGCTGAAAATTCAGCTTTGCCATCACAGGAATAAATTACATTTTAAAATATATTCAAACAGAAAACAATCATTTTAAATGATAATACAATTTCACAATATTTCTGTACATAATAATAATAATAATAATAATAATAATAATAATGCAGCCTTATTGGATATAAGACACTTCTTTAAAGGGGTCATATGATTCTGCTAAAAAGAACATTATTTTGTGTATTTGGTGTAATGAAATGGGGTTATGCGGTTTAAGGTTAAAAAAACATATTATTTTCCACATACTGTACATTATTGTTTCTCCTCTATGCCCCGCCTTTCTGAAACGCGTCGATTTTCAGGCGGAGCGATGAGACAAAAACATTAAAACCCATTATAAACGAGGCATTTGTTGCATCCAGTGGGGACATAATTACGGATTATAATGACTTATACCGTCTTTTTACACGTTGCGTTGCAACGCGCCGCGTAAACATAAAACCATGTCTGCATTTGTGATCGGAGAAATGACAAACAACAAGTGCTACTCTACACTGCTCAAAACTCGCGTTTGAATCGTCAGTGGCAAATTC